TCTATCATTCTGTCTTTTATTCCTGAGAAGAAACATTTTTGTCTTCTCTTTTTTTTTCTTTGTTTGGCTAGAAGATTTATGAATTTTGTTATCTTCCCAAAAAACTAGCATTTAGTTTTATTAAGTACTGGAGATTGAACCCAGGGTCTTGTTGCTTGCTAGGCAACTAGGCAAGTGCTTTACAATTTGAGCTAAACCTCTAGCCCTTTTGTTTTTGTTTTGTTTGTAAGATGGGGGTCTCATACAAACTTTGCCAGGGCTGGCCTTGAACTCGCTATTCTCTTGTTTCTGCCTCCCAAGTAGCCAAGAGACACCCTCTTTGACCCATGTGTCAACATTGTTCAGTTTTCCCAAGTAACTGGGGGCTTTCCAACTACATTCCTATTACAGTAGTTCCCCTTAACTGCGGTTTTACTCTCTGTAGTTTTAGTTCCCCAAGTTCTACCATGGTCTAAAAATCTTACATAGAAAATACCAGAAAGATACAGGAAGTTTTCAAACATGTGGCATCTTCAATAGTCTGATGAAATTATTTGGTGTCTTGGTCTTCTTCCCTTGGTCCGCAGAGCAGTGCATACAGGACGTGGCCTTGCCTGGGGTCTCTAGCATTAGTGCAGACAGGGTATGTCCCTATTTGGAGTCTCTGGTGTCTACTAATTCAGGTTGGCCTGTGCTTGGCCAGTGAGCTAAATCGACCAGGTCCTCTGTAGGAGTTGTACAGCCTGCTGGTGGCTTTTGTTGCTCATTAGGAGCCACTCATCTCTCCCTTACCTGGAGGCCACCAGTATAAGGAGTGTCCCCCTACCCACCCACAGCTTGGCTTCTCTGTCTTGCTCAGCTCTCAACTCTCCCTGGTGTGGAGACTGTGGAGGTGTTTGTCTTTGCCTCCAATCTACTGTCCCTGCTGTTTAGTCAGAGCACATCCTTCCAGGAGAAACCCCCATCATTCTTCCACTTCTCTCAGCCTAATCATCATCATCTGAGCACCCACAATGGGCTGGAGCCCATCTTAATCCTAGGATGGAGTTAAGTCTCCCTTTATCCCGTGGGGTTACTGGTACCAGGGAGCCCATGGCCACTTCTGAGGCCCCACTGGCAGTTTCCTGGCCTGGGTCCAAATCTGAGCTCTCTGTAACCTCCTTTGACCTGGGTGGGAAGTGCGGTTGAAGGGCCCTGTGTCCCATGCACAGTTCTTAGGCAGGGAGATGGTAGCACATGGTGTTCATGTTGGGTATAGAGGTGAACTTCGCTACCTGGTTGTGTCTGGCATCTTCATGCTGCTTTAAATTGACAGGTGGAGGACCTGTGTCAGGATGGGCACAGAAATCCTGATCTCCCAAGTGGGACCCAGGGGCTCATTTGTCCTGGAGCTTAAAGCTAGGCTCGGTGGCCAAGTCTGTCTAAATTTTTACAATTGCTTGTTCACCCTATGCTGTTCCTGGGAACAAGCTTCTTCTTTTTTTTTTAATTTTTATTTTTTTATTACTCATATGTGCATGCAATGCTTGGGTCATTTCTCCCCCATGCCTCCACCCCCTCCCGTACCACCCACTCCTCCCCTCTCTCTCCCCTCCACCCCCTCGATACCCGGCAGAAACTATTTTGCCCTTATTTCTAATTTTGTTGAAGGGAGAGTATAAGCAATAATAGGAAGGAACAAGGGTTTTTGCTTTTAAGGTATCTGCTTTAGTTGCTCTACATTGAGGGCAACAAATGCTAGCTAATTTTTTAGGTGTCTTATCTATCCTAACACCTCCCTTGTGTGCTCTCGCTTTTATCATGTGCTCAAAGTCCAATCCCCTTGTTTTTGCCCTTGATCTAATGTCCGCATATGAGGGAGAACATACGATTTTTGGTCTTTTGGGCCAGGCTAACCTCACTCAGAATGATGTTCTCCAATTCTATCCATTTACCAGCGAATGATAACATTTCGCTCTTCTTCGTGGCTGCATAAAATTCATTGTGTAGAGATACCACATTTTCTTGATCCATTCTTCAGTAGTGGGGCATCTTGGCTGTTTCCATAACTTGGCTATTGTGAATAGTGCTGCAATAAACATGGGTGTGCAGGCGCCTCTGGAGTAACCTGTGTCACAGTCTTTTGGGTATATCCCCAAGAGTAGTATTGCTGGATCAAATGGTAGATCAATGTTTAGCTTTTTAAGTAGCCTCCAAATTTTTTCCCAGAGTGGTAGTACTAGTTTACATTCCCACCAACAGTGTAAGAGGGTTCCTTTTTCCCCCGAATCCTCACCAACACCTGTTGTTGGTGGTGTTGCTAATGATGGCTATTCTAACAGGGGTGAGGTGGAATCTTAGTGTGGTTTTAATTTGCATTTCCTTTATTGCTAAAGATGGTGAGCATTTTTTCATGTGTTTTTTGGCCATTTGAATTTCTTCTTTTGAGAAAGTTCTGTTTAGTTCACTTGCCCATTTCTTTATTGGTTCATTAGTTTTGGGAGAATTCAGTTTTTTAAGTTCCCTATATATTCTGGTTATCAGTCCTTTGTCTGATGTATAGCTGGCAAATATTTTCTCCCACTCTGTGGGTGTTCTCTTCAGTTTAGAGACCATTTCTTTTGATGAGCAGAAGCTTTTTAGTTTTATGAAGACCCATTTATCTATGCTATCTCTTAGTTGCTATGCTGCTGGGGTTCCATTGAGAAAGTTCTTGCCTATACCTACTAACTCCAGAGTATTTCCTACTCTTTCTTGTATCAACTTTAGAGTGTGGTCTGATATTAAGATCCTTGATCCATTTTGAGTTAATATTGGTATAGGGTGATATACATGGATCTAGTTTCAGTTTTTTGCAGGCTGCTAACCAGTTTTCCCAGCAGTTTTTGTTGAAGAGGCTGCTTTTTCTCCATCGTATATTTTTAGCACCTTTGTCAAAGACAAGTTGGTTATAGTTGTGTGGCTTCATATCTGGGTCCTCTGTTCTGTTCCACTGGTCTTCATGTCTGTTTTTGTGCCAGTACCATGCTGTTTTTATTGTTATTGCTTTGTAATATAGTTTGAAGTCAGGTATCGTGATACCTCCTGCATTGTTCTTTTGACTAAATATTGCCTTGGCTGTTCGTGGCCTCTTGTGTTCCCATATAAATTTAACGGTAGACTTTTCAATCTCTTTAATGAATGTTATTGGAATTTTGATGGGAATTGCATTAAACAAGTAGATTGCTTTTGGGAGTATAGACATTTTTACTATGTTGATTCTACCAATCCATGAGCATGGGAGATCTCTCCACTTTCTATAGTCTTCCTCAATCTCTTTCTTCAGAAGTTTATAGTTTTCCTTATAGAAGTTGTTCACATCTTTTGCTAGGTTTACACCTAAGTATTTTACTTTTTTTGAAGCTATTGTAAATGGAATTGTTTTCATACATTCTTTTTACTTTGCTCATTGTTAGTGTATAGAAATGTTAATGATTTTTCTTGTTGATTTTATATCCTGCTACCTTGCTGTAGCTATTGATGATGTCTAGAAGCTTCTGAGTAGAGTTTTTTGGGTCTTTAAGGTATAGGATCATGTCGTCTGCAAATAGGGATATTTTGACAGTTTTTTTACCTATTTGTATTCCTTTTATTCCTTCTTCTTGCCTAATTGCTCTGGCTAGGAATTCCAGTACTATGTTGAATAGGAGTGGAGATAGTGGGCATCCTTGTTTAGTTCCTGATTTTAGAGGGAATGGTTTTAGTTTTTCTCCATTAAGTATAATGCTGGCTGTAGGTTTGTCATATATAGCTTTTATAATGTTGAGGTACTTTCCTTCTGTTCCTAGTTTTCTTAGAGCTTTTATCATGAAATGGTGTTGGATCTTATCAAAGGCTTTCTCTGCATCTATTGAGATGATCAAGTGGTTTTTGTCTTTGCTTCTGTTAATGTGGTTTATTACGTTTATTGATTTTCGTATGTTGAACCACCCCTGCATTCCTGGGATGAAGCCTACTTGGTCGTGGTGAATGAATCTTTTTGATGTGTTGTTGAATTCGGTTTGCCATTATTTTGTTGAGGATTTTTGGGTCAATGTTCATTAAGGAGATTGGCCTATAGTTCTCCTTTTTGGAGGTGTCTTTGCCTGGTTTTGGGATAAGTGTAATACTGGCTTCATAAAATGTGTTGGCAGTTTTCCTTCCCTTTCTATTTCATGGAACAGTTTAAGGAGGGTTGGTATCAGTTCTTCTTTAAAGGTCTGATAGAATTCAGCAGAGAATCCATCAGGTCCTGGACTTTTCTTTTTGGGGAGACTCTTGATTGCTGCTTCAATTTCATTTTGTGTTATAGATCTATTCAGGTGATTAATGTCCTCTTGGTTCAGTTTTGGATGATCAAATGTATCTAGAAATCTGTCTATTTCTTTAAGATTGGGAACAAGCTTCTTAAAACAGCATCTAAGTAGAAAAGTGATCAGGCTTCAAACAGAGCTGTGGAGAAGTTTCTAGAAAGCTTACCAATGCAGGTGTTGGGCAGCCATACCTTTGGGAGCTGGGGCCTTGGGCATCTTCATAGAGTCATCCAGGGGCCCATGTACACATGCATGTGTGCTGGAAGGTATACATTACCATGGGGAAGCAGCCACACATGCCAGGTTCTGCAGGTGCAGACAGGGTAGCCATATCATATATCCACTCTCCAGGGACAGAGCCACTGGACTTTGGTGTGTCCCCAGATTGTCCCTGGGTGGGGCAACATGGGTTTCCATGATGCCTTAAGGCCTCAGAGCAAAATGTGGAGGTGAAATAACAGATAAAGGAGTGCCTACGCCTGCCTCAGGCAGATGAGCTGCATAGGATGGAGGCCAAGTCTAGGAGGTAGGAGAGCTAAGTGAGATGGTAGGGGGAGGGGTTCTGTGCTTCCACTGCTGGGAGCAGGGCATGGTTTGGAAACCTCTGTTCTGCAGTCTCATGCACCAGGCCCTCAGATTTCCTCTCTGGCCTGTCACTGGGAGGGTATGTGGTATTGGGAGGACCTGAGGATGACCCTTGCTGTCTTGCAGGTTGTGCAGCCTGACACTGAAGAAGCTGGCCGTGCTCAGGGAGCTGGAGAAGGAGCTCATGTCTGTGGTGATTGCTGTTAAGATGCAGGTGAGCCCCTACCCTGCTCCACAATGCCCAGAGCATGGAGGAGGTGGGCCCTGGACACCAGTGCCCTCGCATCCCTCACCCTGGTCTCAGCTATTCTCCTACCCAGAGCCCTCTTACCCCACCTCTAATTTTAAAACTCGCATGGGGTGAGGGGTTTGCCCCCTCAAGGAGGATGACGTAGGAGGTAAGGTCAGCACTAGACCAGAATCCCAGCCATGAGCTCCCCCATCTCTTATAGATTCCTTAGGGAACATGTGACGACTTGGCTTTGGTTTTCCTCGATCCCCTTTCTGAAGGGACGAACCATCTCCTGCCTTGTCCAGACCCAGACCCCACTCTCCTGTGGTAGAGCAATTCCCAGCCTATCCAAATGGTGTCTACTAGCTTTGGGGGCTGCCAGGTTCCAGGTTGACTTCCAGGGGATAGGATGTAGCTTTCAGCCTCTGGCTGTCCAGGTGGATCTCCTCATGACCCTCTGCAGGTGACCCCTTGCAGGTATGCAGTGTGTGCAGGGCCAGTGTGTCCTCACACATGTGGCCTTGTATGCAACTGAGCAAGTGGGAACAGCTGTTTATTACTTACCTGGACTGACTGCCCCAGTAGCACAAGGGTCCTGCCCAGGGAGCTCATATTCTACCCTTTTTATTCAGCTACACTGCCAATGGTTTCTGATACATCCTGACCAACAGGAGAGGCATAGGAAACTCTGGACCCCAAAGGACAGCCCTCCTCCTTCATGTCGTGCCCTCGCCTTCTGCACAGGGCCCACCTGCACACTGAAACTGAATCTAAGGAGGCCTGGGGCCATCCTGACTTCTCCACTCAGGTGCTTCCACCTGTCAAATTTTCTGCTTCCAGTGAAGATCTGGGGCAGAGGGACCCTCCCTGGAGATGCTATTGGGTTCTTGGCATCCAAAAGGAACAAGAGATTCCCCACAAGCCTGGTCTGGCACATATGCCAGAGGGGCCCTGGACAGTGAGGCCTTGCCCAGAGAAGGCCCCCAGGCTGGTGGTCAGGAATGGTTTACTGTGTGGAGTGGGGAAAAAGGTGTCCCTGACCTGCCCTGGAGGACATGGTGTAGCCAAGGTCATTGGGTGCCCTTTGTGTGATGTTGCCACAGACTGTGCTCTGGGCCTCTTGGCTAGGGAGGGGTCAGGACAGGATTTGACCTATTCTAGGCATCTGAATTAGTATGTGGATGTGTGAACTCTGGCATGGCTCACTCACTCCATCCTTTGACCCCATTTCTTGGCCTCTGTCCTTCAGCTACCTGTCTCTGTGACTGCTCCAGACCTTGTCATTACTGAGCCCTCAGCACTGCAGGTTGGGATCCAGGGCCCTCTTAGAATCACCATACTCCAGCACTCTGGAGTATGCCTCCATGGACTGGCCTGTTCCCATCCCTGCTCCCTCAAGCTCAATGTCCTCCCCAGTAGACCCCTAGAAACTCACCTGCTGCTGCTGGGCATTCTTTCCTGCTGAGTTACCTGCTCTGTAGCCTGGACAGGGCAGCAAGGAATCGCCAGCCTCACTGACCACTCCTCTTTGAACCCATACCCCCTGCCATGTTCCCCAGAGTATCCCTGGCCTTCTGTGTGTCAGGCCCCCTCTCCAGCAGAGGTCTTGCTCACCCACCCCTAGAGGTGGCACAAGCATGCACCAGACTCCTTCCGGGGGCAGCCCTCTTACTGCAGCTCCACGTTTGTTCTTGCTTCTTGTCATAGCTGTTGGCTCACATCTGCAATTCTGAAGCTAAGGTAGACCTAATGCTGGGTGGGAAGAGGACTCTGCACCTCACAGGCTGTGTGGGTCAGGGGTGGACAGTTGGATGTCTGAACCGAGCCTCAGCATGACTGCCATACAGGCTGTCCTACACTGTGCCCAAGACCTGCTGCTCCCGTCCATGTGGCCTTGTGGTGGGCTTTTGTGGTCCTGGGCCCTGCACCCTGCTCCTGTCCCCACCTCTCTGCTCCCCTCACCCCCAGGCTTCCCCCTTCATCCTCTCTGCAGCCGCCTGCCACCCCTGCCCCACAGCTTCACCATTTTCTGCTGCGCCTGACCACTTGTAGGAGCCTGAAACCCGACATCCAGCCTTTTCTGCCTGTCTCACTCAGCACAGAGCACTCAGGGTTTGTCCTTATTGGAACAGACACTCTCTGATGGACATCTTTAATCCATTTGGAGTTTAGTTTGGCATAAAGTGGGAGGTTGGAATCCTGTAGTATTTCATACAAAAATTCATTGTCCTGTGTACTGAAGCTCACTTAAATACTAACTGTGCCTTTACATATCTGTGCATTTGAGGATCTATATCTGGATGCCTCCTAACTCCTTGTTTCTGAATTTTAAGTATGGTGCCTTGTAGGACGTTTATTCTGTGAGAGGGCCGGTCAGCCTGTACATTCATGTTTTCCCCCCTGTGCTGGGATTGAAACCAGGGCCTTGTGCATGCTAGGCAAGTGCTCTACCACTTGAGCCAAGCACCCAGCCTTTTTGTGTTTAGTTTTTGAGATAAGGTCTCACCAACTTTGCCTGGAATAACCTCAAACTTGCCTCCTGTCTCTGCTTCCTGAGTAGCTGGGATTACAGGCATGCACCACCATGCCTGGCCTCATTCTGCCTTTTTCAAGAATGCTTGGGACCTGCACTTTGAGCTTGCAGATGAAGTCAGCAGCCTGCTGTGCAAGGCCTGAACTGTGCTGAGGTTTGGTAACTGCATTAACTTTGGCAGGAAACATTCTTGATCTCTCCCATTTCTTGGACAGATCTTAGTGGTGGAATCTGGGCAAAGGATAAGGACATTCTTAAGGTTCCTGACAGATGCCTCTCTGGTGTCTCTAGGAATTATGTTTGCTCATGCCTGTCGAGCCAGTCTTTGTCCAGACAGTTTAGAGAGTGCTCCTATGGCTGTGTCACTAGCTTGTTTCAAGTATTGTCCATCTTTAAACTAGGAGATGTCTGTTTCCTTTCAGGGCTCCAAACGGATCCTGCGATCTCATGAGATTGTGCTGCCCCCAAGTGGACAAGTGGAAACCGATCTGGCCTTAACCTTCTCTCTGCAGGTGAGGCCACCCTTTGGATAATAAGGACACTGCTGGTCAGTGCCCTGGTTGATAAACACATCTTGGTTAGCATCCTAGGTGGGGACACTCCCTAGTCACAGCACCCTGCGTAGTGGACACTCCCTGGTCAGTGCCCCTGTGAGGGACACTCCCTGGTCAGAGCCACCTGGATCCCTTCTTACTGGAATAGTCTCTTGATCCTGGCTTATTCTTAAATGTTACAAATTTTTCTTGGTTTGTTTGTTGTGTTGTCATCCTTTTCCCCTTGTAAAGAAAATGGAATGATAAGGCCAAAATATCAAGGTATTAAGTGAGGGCATTTTATTGTGGGGTTAGAAAAGAGTAGCAGGAATATATGCAAACTCACTATGCTAAATTCAAAGCCCTTTGAGCATCTCAGGTGTGCCTAGTGGTTAAGGGGACTCTCAGTTCAGTTGAGACATGGCTCTGGGTGCCTCCCAAGACTCCCCAGCTTTGATATGAAATAGAGAACTCCTGAGATATCTTTGGAGCTTTGACCATAAGGAGCCAGACTGGCCACAATTCATTCCAAATCCACCAAGTTAATTCATTGTACATCCTCTTTTATCTGTCTATCTGTTTTATCTATCTGGCAGTTTGAACTCAGGACCTCATGCTTGCGAGGCAGGCACTTTACCACTTGAGCCACTCCACCAGTCCTTCTTTTGTGTTGGGCTGCTCATGGTCTGGCTGGCCTCAAACTGTGATCCTCCTTACCTCTGCCTCCCAAGTATGTAGGATTAGAGCCATGCGCCGCCAGGGTTTGCATTGAGGGCTTTGTGCTTGCAAAGCAGACACTCTACTGCCTGAGCCACACCTCCAGTCCATTTTTGCTCAGGTTATTTTTGGAGATGGGCTCTCCTGTTTGCCCAGGCTGTCCTTGAACTGATATCAGCCTCCTAAGTAGCTAGGATTATAGGCATGAGCTGTTGGTACCTCTTTTCTCTTTTTAAATGTATGAGACAGGCTGTGGTTTAGGGAAATGCCAGAGTCTCTGCCAGCTCCAGCTTCTGCCCTCCCCATTGCCACATCACCAGTCCAGCCTGGCTCTGTTCATCCGGACCACTTCCCTTGCTGGTGGCACGGGAGTCTGCCCTAGTGGAACTGACCCCACCAGCACAGCTTCTAGCTTTCATAGTTGGTTGTGTACTTTTGTGGGGGATTCAGCTTATTGAAGTGTAATTTATACTTAGCCTGTTTCAAGTACCTGGTCATATGGCTTCTGAAAAGTATGTACAGGCATGAAACCTGTACTAGTCACAGCTCATTCTGTCTCCTATAGTTTTGTTCTGGGTTCTGTTGTGAACTGAGAATCTGTGAGCATCTGTTTTGACACATAGCCCCTGTGGTAGAAACCCCTGTAACAGCGCACAGGTCCTGGTGTGCAGCAGCCCTCCTGGGTGGGGGTCGTTACCTGGATGCTTGTCTGGAGGGTACATTCTGCTACCCAAAGGAGGCGCCCTTCCTGTCCCCTGCTTTGGTCTTGGACAGAGGATCTGTTGAGCTGTTTCCAAATGTCCACAGGTGCATGTGAGCCCATCCTAAATATCTCAGCAAATAGTTCACTCTTGCAGCTGTTAGTGTGAAAGTTGGCCTCCCACTGATGTGCTGGTTCTGGGGATTGGGTAGATGCAGAGTCCTACTGACCAGGGTGACCCTGGAAGGTCTCATAGACCTTAGGCATAGGCGGCCCAGATTGTGTGGCCCAGGGTGTGGTGCTGTGCCAGGCCTCAGGCAGACTTGCTTATTCCCCAGTACCCCCACTTCCTGAAGAGAGAAGGCAACAAGCTCCAGATCATGCTGCAGCGCAGAAAGCGGTACAAGAACCGGACAATCCTGGGCTACAAAACACTGGCCGCGGGTTCCATCAACATGGCTGAGGTGAGTGCCCTTAGGGCCCCAGAGCACTGTGCACAGATGTCCCTAGAGTGTCCAGAGGAGCTCAGCTCTGGCCTCCACCTTCTGTGGGTGTCTCCTCCCAGATCTCTGGCCTCTGATCAACTCAACATGGCTGCTACTGTGCTTATAGTCCCCGGTGCCTAAAGACTCCTGTGCACATCCTGCTTTCCACCCTGGTCTGTCTTGGAGCCCTTCCCAGGAAGTGTTCCTGCAGATATCCCCCAAAATGGTTCCCCCTGGACATCCCGTTAGCTCTTGCCCAACCCCAGTCTAGGGGACAGGCTGCAGCCAAGCAGGGAAGTACCTCAAAAGAAAAACAACCAGTGCTGGGCATAATGGCTCATCCCTGTAGTCCTAGCTATTCAAGAGGTAAAGATCAGGAGGATTGTGGTCCAGACCTTTCTGGGCAAAAATGCGAGACGTATCTGAAAAATAACTAAAGCAAAAGGCCTAGAGGTGTGGCTCAAGTGGTAGAATGCTTGCTTAGTAAGAGGGAAGCCCTGAATTCAAACTCTAGTACCACCGAAAAAACAAAAGCCACCTCCACATCACCTGGAAGCCTCGGTGTTCTGGTAGACTGTAAAGAGACACGAGGAGCTCATGAGTATAGAAGATGTCCCTCAGCTGGGGAGCTGGGACTTTTTCATGAGCCCCCTTTAGCCATAGGAATGACTCTGGGAGAAGGGGCAGCTGAGCCAGTTTATCCCTAGGCTTTGGAACTTGGCCTCAAGTGCTGCATTCAGGGTCTGGGAGCATATGAAACTGTGCTGGGAGGCAGGGCAGCAGCAGATCAGGTTATGTCATGCCATGCTCCCCCACCTCAGCTGCCCAGGGCTCCTGTGTTGTGCATCCCCTGTCTAGTCCATGCACACTCAGGTCTTCCTGCTGTATTCTGAGTGCCCAGGCCTGGCCCTGTCCTGTATGCTATAACTTGCCATTGTCCTCCCAGCCTCACGGCTCCTCCTGAGTCTCTGGGCCATGCTGGAGTGACCATCCCAAAGGTGCACGTGACTGTGGTGCCTGCTGCTTTAATGCCTGTCCTCTTTTCTCTGTCTGTGGAAGAACAGACCCTGGACATGGCCAATGCCCCCCAAGCCTCCCTCACCTAGCACCTGTGGTCCCCCAGAGTCCACCCCCTCACTATCCTAGACTATCTTCTTCTTCCCTATTATCTCCTCCCACCAAGGCCCCTGCCCCAGGCCCAGCTCCACCCTCCTGTGCACCCACAAGCTCTAGGGCCCATTCTTGTCCTCGCCATGTCCTACTGTGTTGTGGTAACTGTTCTTCATCAGTGACTCCTGTGGGCTTGTATGTTGTCATAAGCACTGGTGGACTTGAGCAGAGGCTGGCTTCTGACCTTGCAGTAGAGGTAGGTGGGGCAGGGCTCTGAGACTGCTCTGGGTGGGGCCTGTGCCCAAGAGGCCCCTGTGCTAGCTCAGATACAGTGGTAGGGACCTGCTGCATAAGCCAGGGGGGTGTCAGTGAGACTGGCCACCCAGCCTCTTGTTATCTGAGGCTGATGCTTGGCTAAAGGGCAGAGTCTCTGAGGGTAAGGGTGAGCCAGTGCATGGATGTGAGAAGGGTGGCTGGGCAGAATCAGCTTCCCCACAGAGCCCATGGGCCTCAAGCGGTGGTGACCCCACCCTCCACAGTTCAACCCAGGGAACTTTGGGATGCAGAGGAGCCTGAGCTGGGTGTCTTGGGGGGAGTTGGACATGCAGTCAGAAAGAGGATACAGGAGAAGTAATCTTCAAGTCCTGGGTCTCTGAAAAGGAGGAGCATTACTCCAGGACTCCCAGAGGAGTGGGGACAGGAAGACCTCAGATGTCACCTCCACTCAAATTAGAGAGGACCAGGATGGTCAGGAGGTCTTGAGTAGCCTGTGCCACCCTAGCTCTGCCCCTGCAGGGCTCATGTTCCAAGTAGGCCAAGGCCTAGCACCCCTTGGTTGCTCAACCCTCTCTCGGAGTGGGGATAGTGGAATGGGGTTTCAAGTACTGGGAGATTCAACATCATGGGTTGACTCAGTGGCTCCCTCTTGGCTCCTGGCTAAGACCTCAGCAGTGTAGCACGTGTTACCCTCAGACTTGTGCCCCAGCTGTCCCTATGCCCACCACCTCTTTCTACACAATTCTCAGGATAGTCTGACCAGCAGGCAGGAGGCCGAGAGCTCTGGTCAACAGATGGCCTGTCTCAGAAGGTGGCCTACAGTCCCAGTGATTGCCAGATAGTAAGCATGCTATGAGTGGACTGTGTCATGAGTCCTCAAGGACCCACCACACCATGGAGGAGAGCATGTAGGTGGCATGAGTACCCAGATCCCAGGGCTTGGAGGCCATAAGCACTTGGAGCTGTGCTGCAGAGGGAGGTGGCCTCCTGCATGTGTCCCCTGAGTGCCTACAGGCACATGAAAGCCCAGGAGTATGTGAGTGTTGGCCTAGAGCTGCCAGCTAACCTTCCTGATGTGGTGTCTAAAGTGATGGTGAAAGCAATGCAAGCTTTCTTGAAATTTATTTTCATGACTGATTAGGATTTGCATACCACATCAGGCTCCAAAATTTAAAAAAATCTGACCCATAAAATTTTAACATCTGGATCTGATCAGGTGACCTCAAAGACAGCTTCTAAAGAGCAAAGGGCCCATTGACAAGAGTCTAAAGTCATCCATGCATGTGATGCTGTGGCAGCATGGGGCCCAGGGTAATGCTATGATGGAGACACTAGCTAAGCCTGGTGCCAGGCCATGCTACCCTCTCTGTTTTGTTGAGTCTTTGTGATGGAGTTGGCCCCAGGGGCTTGATGGTCCTATGAGCCAGGCCTGTGGGTCTCTCAATGCTGCTGGAGGTGTACACTATGCTGGTGGCCACTCCTCCTTGGTTCTTACAGACATGGGTCCCTGGATAGTGGGTCCCAAGGGTTGAGTGTCCATGTCAGAGTGCCATTGTCTGACCTTCATCACCATCCTCTCCTTCCCCTGTCACACTGCTTGACTGCTGCTGAGGTCCCCAGGCTGGGGAGTGGGCAGAGCCAAGTTGGGGGCTGGGACCTGCTTTGGTGACTTCACAGGTACAGCAGGGGTGCTAGAGACCAAGCGCCCCATGGATACTCCTCTCTGCCCACCCTTAGTCTATAGTTGCTAAGCCTGGCACCGACTCCCTCCACACATCCCAGTAGCCTCTTGTGGCCCATCCACCCAATCCCCAGTCCTCCATTCCTACATGGTCTCCTCTTTGCAGCCTTGCTTCTTGCCCAGATGCAGGGACTGTACAAGTGGAACTTACTAGAACTCTGCCTGCTAGGTGATGCAGCACCCTTCTGAAGGCAGCCAGGTACTAAGCCTCTGCAGCAGCATCAAGGAGGCCTCTGTCAAGGTGGCTGAGATCTGGATCGTCTCCCTGTCCAGCCAGCCCATTGACCACGAGGATAGTGCCATGCAGGCTGGTGCCAAGGCCAAGTCCACGGGTGAGTCACCATACCTCTTCCTTCCTCTCTGCTCCCCCCTACACTTCTGGTCACTTGTGTGTCAGAGTGGGTGGAGAAGTTGGGGAGGGGGTGAAGAGTGTGTCAGGTTCTTCTCAGCTAGAAGCTTTGGGGTAGAGTTGCTTGAGGTGTTCTAGGCTGTGACACTTTGGTCATGAGGTGTGGTGGATGTGATCCTGTGATACCACCGATGCTCTGGATGCCAGCCCTGGCATGAGGCAGGTGCTTAGCAGCCATGAGGTGCTGCCACCATCACAATTGGGCTCACCATCACTTCCCCACCCTGCCAGCCCCGTTGCCATGGGCTGCTGTCATTGGGCTCCTGGGGCTCAGGGCCACTGTACCAGAGTTGGGTCCTCCTGCTCACATGGGGCTGTCTCCTTGCAGCTCCCCTCTACTTCCAGGAGACGCCTGTGGTTTGGTCACCACATTGCTGCTGTAGCAACAGGTGGAATCTCAAGGTGCCTTCCCTTCCATTTGCTTATTCCGCAGATAACTACTCTGAGGAGGAGTACGAGAGCTTTTCCTCTGAACAGGAGGCCAGTGATGATGCCGTGCAAGGGCAGGTAACAGGACAAGCTTGGGCATGCAGGTGGACCAGCAGGTGGCTGATGCCCCCACTTCAGACCCTGCCACACACGAGCCACATGGGGTCTGAAGGGGGCTTCCCTGTATCTGACCTCCGATAGGTCTGGGGGTTCCTGGGGTCCATGGGAGGCAGGAAGGACAGGAGAGCTGAGCTGGATGTATGATACCTTATGCTCTGTCCTGGTGCTTGAATGCATCATGGGAAGATCTGCAGGGTTGGGAGTGGCTGCTGGGTTAGCCTTGGCAATGGCCTTTCTTGACTGCACTCTAGGCTGGGCCTGCCTGGGTAGGCAGCACCATGGCCTCAGCCACATGCTTGTTGTCTCCATAGGATTTGGATGAGGATGACTTTGATGTGGGGAAGCCCAAGAAGCAGCGGCGATCGATAGTAAGAACGACGTCCATGACCAGGGTCGGTGGAAGCTGAATTTACTAACACTAGGGAAGGGTGAGGGTTGGGGGACATGACTTGAGGGACTCTCGCTGGAAGGCCATGAGTAGGAGGGGAAACTTCCTCTCCTGAAACCAGGTGGGGATGGGCCCAGATATGGCTGGGAAGATGACAGACCCCCATTCCATAACCCTTCCCTCAGGCCAGGAGCCTCTGTAATCGGTACCTACAGAGCCAGGGAGAGCTGTCTTGTAGCAGCTGCTAGCCCCTGCTAGCAATGCTACCCTCTCCTGCTACCATGTGTCCTGGCTTCAACTTCATGTGTTCATGAGACCCACAGGTTTAGGAATAAGACTAGCTGAGGAGCTGCCTTATTCTTCATGGCTCCCCATGAGCAGGGATGTGGAGGAGGCTCTTATGTCTTTGTTCAGTATCCAGACACACTTTGTATGTGGCCAGTAATGTTTTGCTGGGGCCTGGCTGCTGTCACTGTGGACACAGGAGGTGGCTATCAGACCTTCCCTGTAGGAAGAAAACTTGGGGTGGTCCTCAGCTCATTCTTAGCCTGCACAGTGTTCACTACTGTGCAGCAGAGTCCCTTCAAGCTTGGTGCTGGCCTGTGCTCCTGCAGGACTGGCCAGGGTAGCCAGGGAAGCCCCGTGCTGATGCTGGCCAGGGGTGACACTGCTGACCTTTGGCAGGTCTTGTGAGAGGGAGGCTGTGGGCTGATAGTACCTGCAATTTGTGAATCACTCCTGACGCGAGGAAGCTGCATCTCCCTGAACGCAGCAGCACCAGTTAGAGCTCAGTCCCATGCCCTGGGCCAGTCACTGAGGAGAGGCAAGCAGGAGGAGCCCTCCCTGGGCAAGGTTGTCACTGTAAGAGGGCTCCTCATTTGGTGGCTGGTGGCTGGCGTGGAGGCTCTGCTGCCTTGGGTGGCCCACCCAGGCACCACCACATGGCATACGGCAGCCTCCTTCTGGATAGATCAGGGTCTCTCCTGGGATGTGGAGCCATGGGTAGGGCTGTGGAGGTTTCTGGAGGAACCGCAGAGCTAGCATGCACCTTCCCTTGGATCCTCCTCAGAGGTTTTAAACTTCAGCTTCTGGGTATTTCTAAGTCTGACCTTGGCTTGTGATTTCAAACGCTGTGTACATGCACGTGGATAAACTTGTGAGAGCCGTGTTACATTCACCAGTATTGCAGCATTTAAACTGAGCCTCCGACTTGCCCATCTGCCACCATGAGGCCTGGGCTCAGCCTCGCTGTGCTCCATAGATATGTCTCCCACATCATTTCTGACTCAGTATTACTTCTCTTGCAGCAACAGAACTTCAAGCAGAAGGTTGTGGCACTGCTACGGAGGTTTAAAGTGTCAGAGGAGGTAAGTGGCCAGGTTGCACTCTGTAGCACACCCACACCAGGTGCCTTTCTAGGGTGGAGGCACTGAGTTAGAGCTCCACGTTACCTGCATGGGCTCTGAACTTACTGTCTGCAGGACATAGCCCTCTGCCTGCCAGCCTGGTGATGGTGCCACTGCCTCCCAGGGCAGCTACAAGGGACCAGCAGAGTGCCAGGCCAGGGGTCACCTCCTGGCCTTTTGACTCCCAAATAGAGATGCATCCAGAGGAAGACAGATAGAGGGTTGGTGTGCTTGTTTGTTTATATAATCACACTTTATTTGGGGAGCAGTTTTAGGTCCACAGACAAATTGAGCAGAAGATACAGAGAGCTTTAAGACCCCTCTCTTCTCCCCATATGCCAGCCTGCCCTGTGGCCAACATACCATGAGTTGTTAAGTTCTTTTTCTCTAGTCCTCAAACCTTCTATAATGAGTTTGCCTAACTTTCATAATCAGAAGAAAATTATCTTGGCTTTTCTCAAATGTGGTGATGGTTCTGGCCCACAATGAGTGGAGGCATTTGGGTGTTTCTGTACCAAAGCATCACTACCACCTGACACACATGGCAGTTCTGCATCCATGCACATGGGGGCTGCACCCTAGAGCAGCTGGAACTGAGCTCAGTGGCAGCTCTGGGGACATCGCCAGCCTGCCTTGCTGGGATGGTTGGCCAGGCCCTGAGTCTTGTAGGTTGTGTCTTGCAATGGGACAGTCCCAGTCCAGCTGAAGGTGAGGCACTTAGCAAGGTGGGCTCCTTGGCTGGGACAGCAGTGCTCCCATCTGAGCACCTGTGGGTTGAAGAGTGGTCCTCTCAGTTAGATCTTGACCATGGAATTCCTCACTTACCTGGTGACAGGGCTGAGTCGCAGAATGTGCCTTACATGCACAGGTTTGGGTCTGGCTTCTGAGACTCAACCCAAATTGTGGAAAGTTTGGCCAACATCCTGGACACTGTGCTCAAGGGAAAGACTTGGGTGTTTTTATAGGAATAATCTCCCAGGTTTGTGTAGAATTCACACATGCTAGTCAAACCACATGATGTCTTTCCTGTGTCTGCGACATGTCACTCCCTTTTGTCTGAGGTCCAGACTGTCTTGCCATGGCTCTGGCCCTGGATCTTGGTGTTCCTGACCACTAGGAGCTCTGCACCCTGCACCATCCCCAGCCCGCTGCCCTCATAGCCACCTAAACTGTTCTGCTACTGTAACTGACCACCTTAGACTAAATAACTAAGAAATAATCAAGTGTTTTACCCATAGTTCTGGAGGCTGGAAGTCTAAGGTCAAGATGCTGGTGGATTCCTGTTTGTTCCTCATAGATGATTTGTGTGTCCTCACACCACAGAAGGAAGGAGCACACTCCCATAGGTCTCTTTTATAAGGGTACCAATTGCCTCCCAGAGGCCTTGCCTCTTGGTATAGTACTTCAAGGGTTAGGTTTCAACATAAGAATTTTAGGGGGACACAAACATTCAGAACAAAACATTCTGTCTCTGGCTCCCAGAATTCATTCCCTTCTCATATTCAAAATACAGTTAATTCTGTTCCAAGATCCCTCAAAATCTTAACTCATTCCAGCATCAACTCAAAAGCCAGAATCTCTGAATATCATCCATTTCTGATATATCACAGATGAATAAAAATCAAGGTAGGATTCATTCTGGGACAAATTCTTCTTCAGCTGTGAGCCCATGATGAGCTCATGAAGTCACATGAGTTATGTGCTTCCACAGTAACGATGGTGGGCCAGCACAGCACAGATGTTCTATTCCAAAAAAGAGAAATACGAAGGGGGTAGGGAAAGGAAGCTGGGGAATGAAAGAAATAAAAGGAAGGAAGAAAGGGAGGGAGGGAAGAAAAGAGGGAGGAAAGGAAAGAAGAAAGAGGTAACTGGCCTCATGTAAGTCCAAGACCCACCAGGGCTTGAATCGTAAGTCTTGAGAATCATCTTCATTGACTTGATACCCTGATTCTGAACCTACTGGGCTGGAGTTGGGACCTGAGATCCAGGCAGTGTTTCTGGGTGCAGCTGGTGCAGCAGCTCTTGAGTTGCAGCTATGTCATGCTTGTGGTTCTCCCAGGCTAGTGCTGTATGCTGGAAACTACAATCCTGCTGTCTTGGGCAGCATCGGTACCCCATGGCCCTCTGGACTTTACCCAAGTGGGGTGCTCTCTGTCTCTGGCTGTGCTCTACCTAGGTCAGCACTCTTGTGAAAGTTGGGCAGAGGTGGCTACACCCACAGCTCTTGCACATCACTAGAGTTGGCAATGCTACAAAGGTTGACCACTTATGCCCTCTGGATAGCCACTGCTGCCCAAACTACACCTGAGCCCACTGGAACTGCAGGTGGGTGGCCAAGGAGCAATGCACCTGAATGTGGGATGCAGAGCCTTGAAATTGTGCTGACCTTGAGGCCTGCACCCTGGCCTAGAATGGGCAGGGCAGCCGAAAGACTTCCCAAATCTCTTTGGAGTCATTTTCTCATGATCCTGTTAGATAGCTTCTGACTTCTGTCTATCCATACTGATTTCTTCCTCAAATTTCACTTAGCCATGCAAACACACGTGTTCATTCTTTATAGTCTCACCCAGCTGAAAATTTTCCAGCTCTTTAAGCTCCAGTTCCCTTTTGATTATAAATTCCATCTTTATTTCTCTGCTCACATTTTACTGCAAGCCATTGAGAGACACCATGAAGCACCCTCAACCCTCCACTTAGAGATTTCTTCTGCCAGATATCCTATCTTGACACTTAGAAGTTCTGCCTTCCACAGAGCTCTAGGACACAAACAAAATTTAGCCAAGTTCTTTGCCACTCTACCAACATCCTGTTCATGACAATTTAGATAATCTGTAAGTTTAGACTCTCAACAGTGCTCCTCTTCCAGGCTCTCACCAGTACCACCCTTCCATATACCTCATGCAGTGTAGTTCAGACCTCTTCCAGCCTTCCCCATTCCCCAGTTCCAAAGCCTCTTCCACCTTTTTAGGAATTTGTCATAACAACACTTCACTTCCCTGTATCACTTTCTATTTTGGACTGTTATGGTGGCTATAACTAAACTTAGACTGGGTGGTTTAGAAACAATTAAAACATAGTGTTCACAGTTCTGGAGGCTGGAAGTTCAAGGTCAAGGATCTAGCAGTTGGGAGTCTGGAGAGAGCCTGTATAGATGGTTCATGTGTCCTTACACAGCAGAAGGGAGAAGCACTCTTCTTCAACTCCTTCTGTAAGGTCACTAATCAGTGCCATGAGAGCTCACTCCTGTACCCTAATCCCCTCAAACACCATCACCTTGAGAGAGTAAATTACCACATGGATTTTGGCGTATTACATGTTCAGACTGAGCACAGCCTCTGGCAGCCTCTAACATACTGGGGCATGAGCAGAATCTGCTGAAGGACTAAAATGGAGAGTCTGGGAGGTCTCTGTGCACAAGAGAGATTTGGGGTGGAGTATGACCCTGGAGCCCTCAGCCTCAGTTGAGAGGTTATCCTCAAGTTTTCATTTAGACATATGTAAAGGTGACACACCTGTATTGTGAATTGATTCAACAAAGGTGCCAGAAAAGATCATTTTTTCAATGGAAAACTGAACTTGACACAAAAAGTTTGCTTTCAGTGGACTATAGCCCTAAATTTAAAATCTAAAACTTGATTAACTTAAACTTTAAGCCTTAAAATAACAGAAATTTAAGTCCTATACAAATTTAGAAGAAGCAGTGTGTGGTGGTACATGCCTGTAATCCCAGCACTCAGAAGGCTGAGGTAGGAGCATTGTAACATTGAGGCCGGCTTGGGCTACATAGCCAAACCCTGTCTCAAACAAGAATCTTTGAAGAACACATAGGCAAAACCTTTATGAATCTGTTAGGCAACAATTCATGGACCATAAAAGAAAAAGTGAAGCATCAGGCATCATGGAGAGTGAAAACTGAAGTATACAGACTCAGAAGGACAAATGTCATGTGGTACCACTTCTGTGAGGGGCCCAGAGCAGTCTCCATAGAGTCAGAAGGAAGGGGTTGTTGGGAATGAAGGGGGAGTGGAGTCAGGTGTTTAATGGGAACAGAGTTGGTAAGATGAAAACATTCTGTGAATGGGTGGTATGATGGCTGCACAACACTGGGAATGTGCCCAATGCCATTGACATATACATCTGACAGTAGGTAAGATGGTAGACATTTTTTTTTGCAGTACTGGGATTTGAACTCAGGACCTCATACTTGCTAGGCAGGTGCTCTACTTCTTGAGCCATAACCCCAGCCCTATATTTTGCCATAATAAAAGTCAAAAATTTCCCTGTGAACAATAGTGGTATAAAAATGAAAAGACAAGCCACAGAGTGATTAAAATATTTGCAAACTGGTAAAGATTCATATCCAGTAAATTTATAAAGAACTCTCGCAGGCACTGGTGGCTCATGCCTGTAATCCTAGCTACTCACAGGGTAGAGATCAGGAGGATCACGGGTCAAACCCAGCCCAGGCAAATAGTTCTCAAGACCCTATCTCAAAAAAGCCATCACAAAAACAGGGCTGGTAGAGTGGCTCAAGGTGTAGGCCCTGAGTTCAAACTCCAGTATTAAAAAAAAAAAAAAAGAAAACTCTCAAAACCCAGTAAGAGGACTGGGAGCATGGCTCAAGTAGGCCCTGAGTTTAAGCCCCAGTACCACAAAGAATGAAGTAAATAAATAAATAAATAAAATAAGAATAACAACCCAGTTTAAAAATAGGCAAGACATACTGTAAAAATGGAAAATGTTGCAGAGAGAATCTAGAGAAGTTATGAACAAGAGGTGAGATATCCCAAGTACGTGAAATGGGGCCTTACTGTTGCCAAGGTGGCAGTACCCCAAGTTAACCTACAAATCTACACAGCTCCCGTCCAATCTCCAGCTGCCTCATAGAAATCCACAGCTCATACTAAAATTAATATGTAAATGCACGGACTCAGACAAAACAATTTGATAAAAACAAAACTGGAAGATCTGTACTTCCTAATTTCAAGACTTACAGCAAAGCTCTAGTGATCAGGTGGTGGTGCTGCTACTAGGCCAGACCAAGGGTCAGTGAAGTGAGAGTTGTATTCATGTCAACTGATTTTTAGCAAGATCTCAAGACCATTCCAAAGGAGAAAGAATAGTCTTTCAAACAAAAGCTGCCAGGACTGCTGCATATCCATACATACTAGAAGGAAATTGAATCCCTTCCTCATACCATATTCAAAAATTAACACAGTGAGGGCTAGTGGAGTGGCAAGCAGTAGAGCACATGAGGCTGAATTCAAACCCAGTACCACACACACAAAAAAAAGCCTGATGTATAAAAATTAACACAGTGGATCAGAGCCCCGTACATGTGAGCTAAGGCTGTAGAGCTTAGAAAAATAACAGGTGGGCAGGCGCCAGTGGATCACAACTATAATCCTAGCCACTCAGGAAGCACAGATTAGGAGGATCGTTGTTTCAAGCCAGCCTGGGCAAATAGTTCGTGAGACCCTAACCCAACACAAGAGCAGAGTTGTAGTAGTGGCTCAGGTGGTAGAGAGCCTGCCTAGCAAGTATGAGGCCTGAGGTTAAGCCCCAGCACTATCAAATATAGAAGAAAATAGTAGAAGTAAACCTTTATGACCCTGGGCTAGGCAGCAGTTTCTTAAACTTGATATCAAAAGTACAAATGACAAAATAAAAATAAACTGGAATGCAGCAACATTTAAAATGTCTGTGCTCCAAACAGTACAATCAGTAATGTGAAACAGCAGCCCACAGGACAGAACATTTTGGCAATTTATGCCAAATGATAAGGATTTACAAAAACCATACATACAAAGAATGCTCATAACCTAGAAATAGATAACCCAATTGTACGTGGATTGTCTGTCTTTTTGAGGAAGATGCAGTTGCAGGTGCTGTGTAGCTTGGGTCCCCCTACCCTTGCTCCTGGCTAACTGTGGCTCACACTTACTGAAGAACAAGTCAGTCAGGAAGCCATGACATAGCCATGGCTTGTGAAGTTACTGGACAGATCCATGGAACCAGAGACAGTGGTTGACACTTTAGAATTACCCTAACTAGCCACCGGGTAAACTTCTGGGAGGCAGTGTGGGGAGGCATGGGGGGGGCGGTCTCAAAGTGAAGGCCCATTCGATATCCAACAATCTCTGAGAATCATGACAAAAAAGATGCCTTGTGGTGAAGATTTAAGGCACAGGGTTATTTCCAGGTGAGACTCTGCAGGCAGCTCAATGACTTACAGTCTTCCCGAGCTTGTCAAGCAGATCCCTTCTGCACCGAGCCAGGAGTAGATGACAAAGTCACCACTGCAGGTGCCTAAGTCAATTATTCTAGTAAATTATTTTTTTCTTTTAAAGAAAAAAAAAAAGAGTCATGGTGGCAGGCTAAAGTTGGAAAATCAAGAGTTTGAGGCCAGTCTGGACTACACAGCAAGACCTTGTCAAAAACCGAAAAAAAATAAGGGGGGGGGCTTAGAGTGGGTATGTGGCTGGGGAAACCCCACACGCTGCTGGTTAGAGTGTACAGTGCAGCTGCTGTGGAAGATGATAACCAGACACTCCACAGTACCCCCTCACACTGTGCCCCAAAAGAGATAAGGATCTGTCCACACACTGACCCACACGTATCCACGTTCATGTTTGTGTTCATAATGCTTCATCTATGATAGCCACAGGCTGGACACAGCCCAGGTATCCATCAGCTGGCAGGTTCCAAAATAGACTGTGTCCCATTCAGTAAAAGGGGTTAGCTCTTGCCACATGACATGGGTGAGCCTTAAATACAGTGTGCTGAGTGAAAGAAGCCAGACACAAGAGACTGTGTCTCATGTGAGTGTGTTTCTGTGATGTTCTGCAACAGGTCAGCTTATGGGGATAGGGCCCAGATCAGAGGTTACCAGGAGGGCTTTCTAGGTTCTTGGTTGAGGTGGCAGTGGCACAGACGCACACTTCATCACACCATGCAGGTTTACATCACTGTGTGCTTTACCAGGTCTGTGTACTGTTTTCGAAGCACACCCTGGACAAGCCTAGCTTGGTAGAAGAGTGACCATACCATGCCCAGCACTAGGTGAACTGAGGTCTTTGGGAGGCAGTTCTGGTTCCTAAGTTAGAAAATAAAATAGAATGTGCTGGCTGCTGAGTGTGATTGGTGGCACTAGATGCCCTCCTCTTGTTCCTGCAGACCCCTCTTCTTTAGCCTGGGGTAGCCCACCAGAGGGTGGTTGGGCCTCTGCTGGGCCCTCATTCATGTCTGCTATTGCTGTAGGTCCTGGACTCTGAGCAGGACCCTGCAGAACATGTACCCGAGGCAGAGGAGGACCTGGACCTTCTGTATGACACACTGGATGTGGAGAACCCCAGTGACAGTGGCCCCGACATGGACGATGACGACAGTGTCCTTAGCACCCCCAAGCCCAAGCTCAGGTGAGTCATGCCAGGACTGAAACCATCAATTCTGATAAGCCTGGCAAAGGGACTTCAGAGTGACCTAGTGAGATATCTGCACACCCGCCTGCCCTCTTGCAGACCTATGCCTGGCCCCAGGTCACCACAGGCAGGCCACTACCTTCCAAGGCTTAGAAGGTTCCTGTGAGCCTGACAGACTGGCAGGAGCAGCTGGAAGGAATTGATATACAGTCAGCCCCAGGTGGTTATTGGTGAATCAAACAGGGCAGCTCTCTTTACCATGGAGATGGAAAGGGTACGTTTGTGGAAAGGCAGGTGGGAGGTGTTACAGAGCTTGGGTCTAGGCTGGCAAGGGGAGTGGTTGCTCCTGACTCTTAACTGGAAGCCAGGTCTGGGATCTTCCCACTGGGCAGAGTGGCTCTTTGGATAGCAAAGCATGTGTGCTTTCACGTTCATTGAGAACTAAGGCAGAACCATCAGGAGTCAGGCAGGATCCGGTCAGAGGGCTGGGCTTGTTTGGAAGGTTCTCTAGAAGGCCAAAGCTTAGGGCATGAGGTAGGTAGGATATGGGGTAGGCTTCTGGGGCCCCCCATTTCTGGAGGGGCTGAGACACCTGGGGGCAGCAGAGCAGAGCCCTGGCCAGCATCCCTCCTGAGGCAGGAAGAGCAGACAGGCAGATCCATTCATAGGTTTGCCATGGACTGTCAGAGGCCCTGGTCTGTGGGGCTATGGAGGCATGGCCCTCAGGACAGATTGTGTGCCACATAGGCCTTGGTTTGGCTACTGAAGACAGGGAGATCCAGACGGGTTGCGGAGGTTTGTAACCTCTTTGTTTTTAAGCTTTTTAACCTGAACAATACAGAGAAGCAAGACTACAATTAACCCAGGCTCCTGCTGCAGCTCTCTATCACCCCTTCTGATGCTGCCCCACAAATGGCATGTCAGTTTTCTGTGGCTATGTGAGATGTGACCACAGATACGGCACTTAAAACATCCATTGTTCTCCCCATGCCAGAGGTGGCATCCTTGGGCTCAGCCTCATTTTCTGCCTATTGTCTTGCTGGGTCCAGGTCAGCGTGTTGACTGCTGGTTCTCACAGGACTGGGAGATGCCCTCCAGGCCTAGCAAGGTAGTGGATGGAGTTCAGTTCCCTCTGGCTTAAGGACAGAGATCTAGCTTCCCTCTTGTCTAATGACGGCATGTCATTCTCACCATCTGGTGGCCTCCCCCACATCTTGGCTCATACCCCTCCTCTGAACAAATCCCCCTTACATTTTGGGTCTGACTTTTCCTGTCTCATTTCTCCTATCTTCAGTCTAAATGAGTTCTCTGCTTGTAGTGGCTCTTGGAACCACATCAACTCTGCCCACATAGTCTAGGTCCTCCCCATTGTGAGCTCCTTGACTTTGACCACATTGTCAGAGTCCCTGGCCACCTGGTACCCACAGTTCTGGTGTGAGATGTGGGCATTTTAGGGCCATGATCTTGAGTGGTCACACAGTGATACCTATGTCTCAACCTCTCTGCACCATCATTCAGGTGGTACACAAGACAGTGCACAGGAACCCTGCTGGCTCTCCTAGCTTAAATGTCTTTTATGTCTCTTGGGTCTCTGCTCTTCCCTTCTTTTTCTTTTTCACTCCTGCTTTATCTACTGGCAGACAGGTTTAACCTGGTTGGTCTGGATTGATCTGGACTGGCCTGGTTGATCTGGGTTAGTCTAGAGTGGCCTAATTGGTTTGAAATGGTCTAGTTGGTCTGGTTGGGTCTAGAATGGCTTGGTTGGTTAGGATTAGTCTGTGATGACCTGATAGGTCTGGATGCATCTGGAATGGCCTGGTTGGTCTGGATGGGTCTGGGATGGTTTGGTTGGTGTAACTGGATCTGGATTGATCTGGAATGGCCTGGATCTACCTGGTTAGCTTGGATTTGCCTGGATCTGCTGGTGGTGTCCTTGTTATGCTGTTTAAAATGCAACTCCCAGGTTCCCAACTGGGACACCCTCCAGCAGGATTGTAGGGGTGGAGCTGGCCTCCAAGCTCCCTTTGTTGCTGGCAGCCCTGCCCTAGTTTTAAGGTCATGAGCAGACAGGGTTTCAGGGACACATGTTTTCTACAGCTGATCTCACAGCTGGTGGAGCCACTGTGCCAGCCTGGTGCTCAGCAGCTTTTGAATCTTGCTCTCTTGTACTGGGTTCCCCCAGGGATGGGTGTGCACTCATGGCTCCTCCCCAGTGCCAGTTCCTTTGGATCCAGCTGTGTTCTCCCCCTGGGTTCTCTGCCATCTGTCCCTCTGTGCTTTGAGGGGGCCTCACTTTCGGTGGGGGGTGATTAGAAAATAATGCCCACCCCTCCCTGAGCCAGACCATACTTCGAAGGACTGTCGCACTCCAGCTCGCAGACAGAGATCGGGAGCATCCACAGCACCCGGAGCCACAGAGAGCCTCCAAGCCCGGTGAGTGGGGCCATGGTACGCAGTGACAGGGTCCTTGGGTGAGGCTCGGGCTTTATCCTTCCTGTCCTTATGACTCATGTAGGCTGTGCTGGATGAACACCAAGCAAGCATGTCCCTGGCTGAGCTGGGCTGTATCTTGGGCTCAGAGCCCTGCCCAATGGCAGGTGACGGTTCTGGGTGACCCTGAGCCCGCAGTCCAGGGAACTCCTACCCAGTTTCCCTGGGCCCCCTGCTCAGAAGTGAAGCAGCCTCAGCACACACTCTCTAGTATTGCTTCAGCTGGCGTCTACGGCCATACCACCCTGAACACGCCTGATCTTGTATTGCTTCATTCCTACCTGTCACCCCCAGGCTGACGTGCCCGAGAAGACGCGGTCCCTGGGAGGTCAGCAGCCGAGTGACAGCATCTCCGACACGGTGCCTCTTGTAAGCAAGCATGGCCAAGCTTGCCTGTCTGTGTGCATCAGGTCTCAAATGTACAGCAAGCTCCACACAGAGGTCCTTGTACTCATGCTACCCTGAGCATAGGACAGGAGGTGGCCAGGCTACTGGGTAGTCAGTGCCCCCGGGAAAAAAACATGTCCCCAGTTTCATTGTCATGCATGGACCCCATCGCAGTGGGTTTGCTCCTGCAGTCCTCATGGAGGGTCTTCTTGAAGAAAGCGCCCTAGGCCACAAGGAGGGCTGGGTCTCTGGCAGGTTTGGTCCTGGTCTCCTTGCAGCAAATAACCAAAAGCTCCCTGGTTAGAAGTATATGGCCAAGCCACATGCTGGGCTGGGGACCAAAGGAGTCCTGAACCCCTCCCATCCCGGGGCACCACAGGTGCAGGAGGCCTGAGGTGCATGAATTTCTAGACAGGCAGGCACACAGATTCCTTCTCTGCTCTCTAGAGTGTGCCAGCCCCACGAGAGCCAGTGGGGCAGCCCGAGGACAGCCCAGAGGCGGAGACCTCTACCCTCGATGTGTTCACTGAGAAGCTGCCACCCAGCGGGAGGATCACCAAGACAGAGTCGCTGGTCATTCCCTCCACCAGGTGTGGGCCTCATGGGGGCCATGCTTCTGCTACATAACTTGTGCTGAGAGGCAGGGCCTGTAGGTCCAGGTGGGGGTCTCTCAGCTGGCTGATTTCAGAGCCTACTCAGGAGCTCCAAGTTGGACCCCACCCAGCCTGTCACTAGCTGCCCCTATCTGGCTTTCTACTAGCTTGCAGCACAAAGGCCAGTGTGCCTAAGAGGTGCCATCTGCTCCCACACTGCTGACCCTGGGGATGAAGCTGCTGAAACCTCAGGGTGCTGGTGGACAAAAGGAGGCTGTTTGCAATGACTGCTCATCACAGGGTTCTGCTGGGTGGCAATGAGGGCAGCTGGTGGGTGAAATTGGACCATTTCCAGGCAGAGACAGGATGGGATAGTGAGGTGCTGCTGCCCTGGCCATTATATGGATTGAGATGCAGGAAAATCATGAGGGCCAAAAGTCAGCATGGATGGTGGTCACACCTTCCCAAGGGCCTTCTCCCCACAGTTGTGTTGGTCAGACCAGGGGCAATGTCTAAGCCCCCTTACCTGGGGACTCGCCAGACCTGCCTCCCACTATCCACAAATATAGACACCCCTGCTCTGTGTTTCTGCCCTTGGAGCCCATTTACTGGAGGCATGCAGCATCTCCTGCTTCTGCTGGACCTTCCTTGGCCCAGCCCAGTTCCTACCACTATGCCCCTGGGCCTTGGCTGTGCCAGGACAGGAGCTGTTGGGAACCGAGACCTGTGTATCAGCTCCTGGCTTGACCTAGGTGGTAGAAGAGGTGAGCATTTCCACTTCCCAGCTCCTCCTTTCTGGGTCACTATCCAGATGGCTGGGCATCCTTGGAGGGACAAGTGGAACTGCTGTGTACTCTTCTGCCACTTTCCTGGGCTTCTCACTGGCCTCTCTGGATGCTGCCCCCATGCCACCTGCACTCCTGTGCTGTGTTAGGATGCCCCACTGGGGTCTTAAAGCATGTGTATGAGGGGTGTTGGGTCAAGGCCCTTCACACCTGACCTTGGCTTGGGCCACCCTCCCTGCAGTTTCCTCTGCCTTCCCCGTGCGTGACCCCCCACTGTGTACCACCCACCTTAACCACCTATGCAGATCTGTGAATAGAAACCCAGCACTGGCATTAAACCCACATTCCTGGATTCCCCTCATTATGATCTGTGGCCTCTGGCCCTTGCTGAAAGGCCTAAGATCAAACAACTTCCCTCTGCACACAGGCTCTCCTGTACATCCTGTGATATTCAAGATTTTCTTGGAAGCAGGAATAGGGCACTGTCATTTACTCAGCAGGGGTCACACTGCCTGGGGCAGGTCTGACAGTGCTCAGCCCTGGCCTGCATGTGACTGCCACCCTCCCTTTCACTCGGAGTCCCCTGCCCATGTGCAAATGAGGAATCAGAGCGGAGTGCTAAGTCCCATATAGGTACCAGTGTCTCCATCTTCACAGAGTTGGGGGCTCTGTGTGTCACAGAATTTTCTGCTCCCATAGGTGACACTGGTCATCCTTCCCTACCCCCTGCAGGGCAGCTATTGCCTGGACAGTGCAGTGTGCAGTCCTCAGCAAACATGTGGCCTGCCCCCATCCCTGCCCACCCTACTCAGCCTGCCCTGGTCCCCAGCAGGTCTGAGGCAAAGCCAGCAGGCCGCCGGGGCCGGAGCACATCACTGAAGGAGCGGCAGCCAGCTAGACCACAGAACGAGCGCGCCAACAGCCTGGACAATGAGCGCTGCCCAGACACACGGAGCCAGCTGCAGGTGTGGGTGGAGCAGAGGGAGGGTGCACCCAAGAGAAGCAGACTCTCAAGAAGTCTAGGTGCCCAGGGCACTTAGAAAACCTGGAGGGCCTGCTGAGAAATGACCCCACTAGACAAGGGCACCACTCATGGGTCCTCTTGTAAGGAGGCTGCCAGTCCCCAGGGTACATGCCAGCCATTCCTTCTACCCTGCTTGCTCCAGGGCTGTTTCAGTCCAGGATGACAGCTCCACCAGCTCCCAGGCCTCTGAGAGGGCAGCTGGAGGCACCAGGCCTGGGAGGTGAGAGTATTGGGCACTGTGTCCCCTGGGTATGGACAGCCTCTGTGTCTTCAGATCCCTAGGAAGACCGTGTATGACCAGCTGAACCATATCCTCATCTCAGATGACCAGCTCCCTGAGAACATCATTCTTGTCAACACCTCCGACTGGCAGGGGCAGGTAGGAGGAACAGCCTTGTGGCCCATCCTCCCCTAGGTTGAGTGAGGGTCAGCATGGTGTAGCTGACCAGCAGCCATATAGAGTGCTCTAGCTCATACGGATGTAGTGCTGGAGTGGGAGTGATTGTGGTCAGGTTTGCCTGGATGTAGGTGGATTTCTGTTGACCCAGTAGGACCCAAGACTTTAAGCATTGGATAGGGATGGCCTGGCACTGTAGTGAGGTCACCATCTGCCTGTCCCCTCCCAGTTCCTCTCGGACGTCTTACAGAGACACACACTCCCCGTGGTGTGCACATGTTCTGCCGCTGATGTCCAGGCAGCCTTTAGCACCATCGTCTCAAGGATACAGAGATAGTGAGTCCATATCCCCTTCCCTGGGGGTCTGCCCCATGATGACGGGGGTCCTGCACCCTAGCCCTGCCTGTTGCTCTGAGATAGGAAGTGTTGTGTCCTGGGGGCCGTGGATGTTTCCAGACATGTTGACCATCAGGCTTCTCACAGCCCAGGGCTGTACTCTGATTCCTGGTGGGTGTCTTGGAACTTGGGAGGGGTGACAAGAGGTGAAGTAGCCTCTGGTGGCCACCAGCCTGTCTGCAGTGGCCTGGGCAGAGGCCTTAACCACTGTCCCCACCATCATCATGTCCTGGCAGACCCCACCCAAACTCAGGGCTCCTGTGGGCAAAATGTCTGGATTTGGCTGCTCCCTACAGAAGGAGCAGCTGCAGCTGGGGGCACAGGCTTCCCTGGGGCTCAGCAGGGTAGTCCTGGGGCCGAGGACAGCTCCCCTGAGGTCTGTACCCTTTCCGCCCCACCCACCTGGGGTCGCAGCTGCAACTGCAATTCCCAGCCTCCAACCCCCGTGAAGATCGCTGTGGCCGGAGCACAGCATTACCTCAGCGCCATCCTGCGGCTCTTCGTGGAGCAGCTGTCCCACAAGACTCCTGACTGGCTCGGCTACATGCGCTTCCTCATCATCCCACTGGGTGAGGGGCTGCAAGCGGCTGAACCCTCTGGGCCTCAGAGATGGGGATGGCCACACGGTGGGGAGGGTCAAGGTGCCAATGTGACACGTTTCTATTATCTTTGTTTTTTGTGTAATACCTTTCATACTTTATCAACCTTATTTAAATGAAAAGAGACATAAACTGGGCATTGTGGTGCATACCTGTAATCCCAGCACTAGGGAAGTGGAGGCAGGAGGATTGAAAGGTTAAGACCCATTTATACTATATAGCAAGACCCTATCTCAAAAAAATGAGAGAGAGGGAAGTGAAGGGAGGAAGGAGGGGAAGGATAACTCAATAGTGGTTTTGGTTTCTGCTGTCAGAAATGCAAAGCAGTCCTTTTAGGTTGCCAAGGTCCTATATAGTTGAACTCCAGTAAACTTTTGGTTTATGTAATTCACCTTACTACAAAATGGGCTGGAGATACAGCTCAAGTGGTAGAGCACCTGCCTAGCAATGCAAAACCCTGAGTTCAAACTCTAGTATTGGGGGGGGGATATATATATCTATATAGATATATAGATATATATATATATAGAGAGAGAGAGAGATATAGCAAGGCCAGTCTTGACTTTTTGACACAGAGTGAGGTCTAGGGATGGTGGTATGCCTCAAGTGGTAGAGCACCTGTCCAGCAAGCACAGGCTGTGAGTTGAAATCCCTGTACCTCAAAAAAAATGAGGTCTAGATGTGATGCCTCATCAAGGGCCTACCACCTGTGCCATCCCTTTGGGCTTCCTTGATGTAGCTCCAGGAGGTGTGTCTTTGTCACAACTCCTTCACTGGGGCTGGGACCATCCACCACAGAAAGTTGTCCAGTTTGGGTGGCCCAGTTCTGTGAGGTGACAGCTCTGCCCGGGGTTCGCAGGTTCCCATCCTGTGGCCAGGTACCTGGGCTCTGTGGACTACCGCTACAACAACTTCTTCCAGGACCTGGCCTGGAGAGACCTGTTCAACAAGCTGGAGGCCCAGAGTGCTGGTGAGGCCCGGTGTAGTGCCAGTGGGGGCTACCCTGCACCCATAATCCCTTGTTATTGTACCCATAATCCCTTGTCACCCAGTATCTCCCTTCCCAAGAGACCGCTGCAGGCCTGCAGGAACCGCCCTCTCCCAGCCTGGGCCCCAGCCTTGCTGTAGAAGGGGTGGGCACAGGGCTCCAAAATGGGCCTTTAGGATTTGGGGAGAAGCCTCATACCCTCACCCCGGGACCACTGTAGGCAGGCATGCAGGCCTGGGGTGGCCGGTGGGAAGCAGAGGTAGAGATTTGCTGTAGTGTAGTGCCCAGTACACAACCAGACCCCACTGGGCCACAGTGCTGACCCACTACTGCCTCCTCGTGCAGTGCAGGACACACCAGACATCGTGTCGCGCATCACACAGTACATCGCAGGGGCCAACTGTGCCCACCAGCTGCCCATTGCTGAGGCCATGCTGACCTACAAGCAGAAGAGGTAACAAAGTGGGCCCTGGCCAGGGTGGCTCAGAAGAAATGCCCTGCCTCATACCGCAGGTCACTGTCAGCTGCTGCCCTTCTGTGACCTCGCACCCTGCCAGGCTCAGCTGGGCTATGGGATGTACCCTGTGGAGTCCAAGGCCTGGTCAGCAGGAATCAGATCAGAATAGTAGATTGGGTTTTCAGAACCTTCTGTCTGTGCGTGTTGAAGATTCTCACAATGCAGTGGTTCAGCCTTGGATTCAGGCACGCATTCCTCTTTCAGCCTGAGCTTCCTATGGCTCTGGCCTGTGGGTTACTAGTCCACTCATTTTCCCACTTGCCCAGTAGCCAGTGCTATTAGCTGCTGTGAGTGAAAGCTGGGCTTGGTAGAGTCCTGCTGACCTGCCTAGGGGATGTGAACCTGGACCTGGGTTCCTCCCAAGTAGCCGAGTGGCCCTGTACAGGAAGGGCCCCTTGAACAGCCACAAGCAGGGACCAGCCTGTGGTTTTAGAGGACTGAACATCCCTCTCTTGGCTCAGTTCTCTGGACAAGCTGCCTTGTGTGCAGATGAAGGGATAAAGGCACAGAGTTGTGTATCTTTGGGGAGTCCAAGGCGGGTGTGGATTCCCATCCAGAAGAGGCTGGAAAGGAGCAGACCCTACAACTGACGAGGACAAAGTCTAGCATCTTGCTAACTTCTGCATGACAACAACACCTTCCCCAGATTGAAAGAAGTTAATTTATAGGCCTGTGAAGCACAGTGAAGTCAGTAGAGATGGCCAGTCCTGCTTCCTGTGCTTCCAGGACTTCCTGGCAGAAGGGATAGCACCACACTTGCACAGTCCCTCCGTTCATCCTCAGCTGCTGCCCCAGAGCAAGGCGGGTAGAGCTATGCCTAAGCCCCCAGGAGCTGGGAGTGTGGAGCTCCTGCTGCAGTGTGTGTAGGACTTGTGGCTGCTCCTGAGAGCATCATAACATGTCTGTTTTCTCTTTTGGTGGCTTTCCAAAAAGGAAAAAGCACTTTCACTTTGACTTTACCCTGAGGTACAGCTCTTTGGCCCGCTCCCCCCTTTCTGTCCCCAGGCTGGTCTTCAGGGCTTGTTTAGCAGAGTCACTACCCAAGTCCCTCTGCCCTGGTGCCCAGGGAGTGAGAGAGGTGCCCCACAGGGATCTGTGTGCTGAAGAGTAGACATGGACCCCTTTCCTCAGCCCTGCCTCACAGTGAGAGGAGAGCTGCAGACAGGCCCTGCTGTCCCAGGTGAGCTGACACAGGCCAGTCCTACAGCCTGCTGTGGGAGATGTGACCTCAGAGTCTGTGATTCTGAAGTCAGGACAGACTGAAACTGACTTAAACTGGAGGAAGCACTGCATTATACCGGCCAGTGGTCATTCATGTTGATGTCAGGGCTGCCTCATACTGGGCTTTGCTCACAGCATTAAAAATTGGTTAACCTGGCCACCTGCACACAGCCTCAGGAGGGAGGTGTCAGTACCAATTCTGCCTGTGGGGAAGTCAAGGTAGGAAGCCAAGGAGCTGGTACAGGGTGACATGTGCCTCAGCCATCTTTGCACTGCAGAGTCAGGCTCCCAGGTCAGCAGAGGCACATGGAAGGGATTCCGGTATCATTCGTGGTTTCCCTAGGAGTCAGCCAGATCCTTGAGGCCCCCAAATGGGGGCAGTGTGCTTTAGTCCCAGGGAGGCTCTACCCTCTGAAAACTTGGATGCGTCAAGCTGAGGAGTCCCAGGCATCTGCAGAGCTGCTCCTTCTTTCTGGGCACGTCCTGACCTCTGTCTTTCATACCTATCTCAGATCATCTGTTCTGCGAAAAGCACTCCCTCCTGCAGTTTCTCAGGACAGGGTCATTGGGTTGTAGGGCCTCATTGCTGGAGCTGTGGGTGGTCAGGACACATGGGGGCTCTGAGTACCAGTCTGCCCTGCTAAACAAGCCCATGAGTAAGAGAAAGACCAGCCCGGCCATTGTGCCTCCCTCCACCCTCGAGACCTGGCCTGTGTTGCCAGTTATGGCAGGAGAAGCCTGCAGCATGCTCTCTTGCAGGCACACTTCTGTCAGAAAAACAAGGCTTGAGGACCCTCTACCCCCAGCGCACCTCCCACCCTTGCCTGCAATACAGTGGTGACACCGGCATTGGGTGGGCGCTAGGCGCCTGCAGGGTGCCAACAAGGACCAGAGTCCTGCCCAACCCTTCCGCAGCCCAGCTCTGTGAGAGCTCTGCAGTGAGGTGCCCAGCTCTCTAAGTGGCTCCTGCCTGCCCTGTCCCTCCACTTCAAATGGCTGGCTGTCTGGGAGTGGGAATGGCCCTTATGCTGCTGACCGCCCAGTCCCTCCAGGAAGCACATGTGTGCTGTGGGTGCTAGCCGCCCTCTGCATTCAGACTTTGGGGTCTCAGTGGTGAGCCGGTGTCACCGCTGTCATGCCTTTGCTGGTCTTGTCTGCATGGCCCAGGATGTAGCTTGGCTTTGAGTTCTGCCAGCTTCTCCATGTTGCAGCATTTTCTGCGTGTTGGCCACATGTGGCCCTCATCAGCCATGCTGTGCCCCCAAGTGCCTCAGAACTTGAGTACAGACAAGAAGCCATTCTGCTATAGTCCTGGGGGCCCAGCAGAGGGTGGGTGGGCTTGAGGGTTGGAGCCTCTGCAAACACTGGGAACCAGCACTATCTGCCTGCCCTCCGTGACCTCCTGAGTCTAGAAGAACTCAGTGCTGCTGATTTCCAAGCACCTACTGAAGAGGATAGGTAGAACACCCATGTGTTCATGCCTCAAGGCTATGGATGGAGCCAACGAGGGCATAGGGCCAAGAGGCCTGTGGATTGCTATAGGGCTCGGGCAGGAATGGGCACAGGATTTGATTTGTTCTTTGAAGTGGACAAGGGCGGAAGGTCTGTTTTTCAAAACTGTTTGCCTTAGAAAGGAAAGGAAGGCTGGTAATTTGGTCATGTTCAGAATCTGTTTTTTTCAAGGTACCTGCCAGGTCTTCTTTGGGAATTAGGGGGTGCTGAAGCAAAGGGAGGCCCCTCCTGCCGTGAACAGCCTTGGTCGACAGTACACTAGGCATGCCTTCTGGGCTGGCTCCAGGCAAGGGCCGCTGATTGGTGTGGGCACACTATGTGTGGGGAGCCTTGTGCACAAGTCCCACTGAACTCTAAAGAGATGGGTGCTGGTCCTAGAATGCAGTGCCCAGGCAGGTGACTGCCTGGCCACACATCTCCCCAGGCCTGATTCCTACAAGGGCTTCCTGGAAGACCATGTGCTGGGCAGCACTTGCTGCAAGGCTGCTATACCTGAGGAGTGCCCTACTGGCCTGGGCAGTTCCCTGGAATCCAGGGAGAAGCTCTGTCCTTTGCCCACCCCAGTGCTTGGCCACTTCTTTGGCACCATGGGCACACATACAATCTCCATCTGTGGGAGAGCCACTCTGGCATCAGATTCTGGTTTGAGAATTGAGACAGAAGAGTCAGGAGAACCACCCAGATGGTACCAGCTGCTGACATGCTCTGGACAAGGAGACACCTCCACTCTGAGTGCAAACCAGGGAGCCACTGAGGGAAGTGGCTGGACCTGCCCTGCTCTGCAGACCTCGGAGGCCTAGAAGAACATGCACTCTGGCTGCTAATGGAGATGTGTGCTCTAAGCTGACCTCATGCATCTCAGGTCCCTGGAGACTGGACTGGTCAGCAGGGAGCCCCTACAGAGATGAACCACATGGCCAGCTGTGGCTGGGTGGTGTTGGGAAGGAGGGAAGCAAACAGGTTTTCATCTCCTTGGCTCCTTCCTGGACCCTTGGCATCTTCATAGTAGAGGGCTGTGGCCAGCATTTCCAGGAGATGCTGCAGCTTTTCAAATGCTGTGGAAAACTAAGTCCACACAGTACTTCTAGCTCCCAAGTGTGGTCAGCAACCCATGACACAGCCCCAGAACCTGGCATGTCCCAGCACTACAGCCAAAGGGATAGACTTGAGGTGAATCACTCAGACTGTGAAGCGGAAACATCCATGCTCTGGCTTGGGACAACCACCCGCAGTTGGTGGAGAAGGTCCAGTCTGTTCCCCAGAAGGTCTGGGCCCATGGAGCTCACACAGCTCTGGGCCAAGTAGGGAGCCAGAGAGAGAAGGCTGGCAGCAGGCAGATGGGATGTGGCTGAGCTGGCACCTGTGCATTGGATACCTGGGACAAAAGAATGAGTTCCTCCTGTGAGCCACATGCTCTGACCCTCGCTCTGCGGCTGCCAGGCTCCGCATGAAGGACACAGAGATGGGCTCACCCTTCCTGCATGTTGGCATGCCGGGAGGGAGCCAAGTGTTGGCCAGGCCACAGTGGGTTGGGATTGGAGATGGGTGGGCCAGGCCCTGGGCCAGGCAAGTGCTACAGCTGGGTTGTGCCTGGAAGGAGTGTGACTGTTTGCTTTTCTTACTCTCAGCCCTGATGAAGAGTCCTCCCAGAGGTTCATTCCCTTTGTTGGGGTGAGTATCACCAGCTTCACCCACTGGGAACACAGGTCTGCCAAGACGCCTTTCATAAGAGTGCTTTCACAGTAGCTTGGGTCTCCAGAACCTTCCTGCCATGTCAGCCAGCTGAGGACTGCCTAAATCCTCCTCATTAAGGTTCCTTGCTTCCTTGTGTTGAGGGATAGAGGCATGGGCTTTTGGTTCCTCCAGTTGATGCATGAAAGCAGAGAGCCCCATCTGGTGGGACTGGTGTCAGACAGCACCTGCCCAACATCCAAAAGAGGAATCTCAGCCCTGTCCTCTGGGAACCAGAAAATGGGGAATGCACATTCTGGTGTGGTTGCTCAGGCCAGGCTGCACCCCTTGGCGAAGTCATTCACACTGGGCTGTAGCTTCAGTACAGCAGCATTGGTTACTCCCTCTGAGGGCCCAAGACTGAGGGCCACGCCCTGCCCCTCTCAGCCCCACTTTCAGTCTTTTCCCAACCCCTTTTTATCTCCAGCACAGGTGTCTTCTGAGGGACCTATAGAGCAGTTTGGTATAGTCTTCAGGCAGGGCAAGGGGTATGTGATAGTGGCCATACCCCTGGGAAGGACAGGACTCCTCTAGAGGATTCTATCCTAGGGTTTTTTCTGTAGTGACAAGAGTACCCTGTGGGTACTTGACTCATCACCGTGTGGCCAAGGCCATGAATTTGGTTTTGTATGTCACTCTAAATTGACACAACCACCATGCTGGACATCATGAGCCTAAGGCACTGTCCCCACTGGCTCACACAGGTCTCTAGAGCTACTTCTGCCTCCGCATCAACATCTCTCGTACTAGTATCCATTGTTGCTAGATGTCTGAGCTTAGCCAGTCACACTGGCATGGAGTTTGCTAATGCCCAGAGCTGGGCTCTGCCCTATAGATGATGGGGTGGGACCTGGTACTGCCATGGCTCCTGTGTCATGGGCACAGGCTGGGCAGCAATGGGGACACGAGTCTGCCCTGGTTGAGCTTCAGGGTGTAAGCCTACAGGGCAGCGGGACCAGCTAATACCCACCAGCTGCCTCCAGCCAATGTCTGTTGCTTTTCAGGTCGTGAAGGTTGGAATTGTGGAACCATCTTCAGCCACATCAGGTAACCCATTTCTCTTTGAGGCCTGTGGATGGCTCTAGGGACAGTTGATCCCAATGCCCTGGTGGCACACTGAGCCCAGAGGGCATGTCCCTCTGGCCTTGGGAACAAGTCCAGCCCTGCCACTTCTGCTCATTGTGGGGCCACTATCCCCATGAAGCTCCCAGACTGCTGCCCACCTCCCCCACCCAAGGGGTTCTGGTCATCTCTCCACTCCCTGGTCCAGAGGCCCCTCTGTGAGGACAGAGCAGCAGATGGTCTCACCACTGACCTGTGACTCCTCCCCTAAGGTGACTCAGATGACGCAGCCCCCTCTGGCTCCAGCGTGCTCTCTTCCACCCCACCATCCATGTCCACATCTCCTGCCGCCAAGGAGGCCTCACCCACCCCACCTTCCTCCCCTTCCGTGAGTGGAGGCTTGTCCTCCCCCAGGTAAATGGCATGGCTCTTACCTTACTTGTTCTGAAGTGATGTTCATCATCCATGTGCCAAGCTTGTCAAAGCCTTGTAAGCAAGCGCAAGCCTAGGTCCTATGAGGGTCTGAGGACTAGGCCTGCTGCCATAGAACTGAGTGGGCCTAAGTGTCTCTAGTGTATGACATCACTGAGCCTGACATGGCTCTGCACAGGGCCGGCTGGCAAAAGAAGAGCCTAGGGAGGAGACCCAGGAAACAGGCTCTTCAAACCATACCCACAGCCAGCTGAGACCCTGCCAAACCACCTGGGTCTCAAAAGCCAAACTCACCCAAACAGAACAAAGCTGCACTGGCATGGGGTTCCTAATGCCGTGCAGGCCTCAAGGTCCAGGCATGTGACTTGTCTATGGTCCCTCCAGCAAGCCCCCTCTGAGCTTCTCCAACTGCCATATCATACCATCTGGACTGCACATTTGATGGGGCCAATTCATCTGGGCCCTTAGAGAGCAGGTGGACAGCTGCCTTAGTACAGCAACTGTGACAGGGCCACAGGGACAAATGGGAATTTCAGGAGAAATGGTGGGCAGGTAGCTCTACAGAGCACCTTGCACTTTACTGGCCAGCAAGTCGGGAGAGATGCTGCCCACACCTTGCCTTGATAGGACAGTGATGCTGCCATCGCCTGTGGGTGCAAGCACTTCCCTCTGCCTTCCACAGCCAGGGCATCGGCGCTGAGCTCATGGGGCTGCAGGTGGACTACTGGACAGCAGCACAGCCCGCGGACAGGAAGAGAGATACTGAGAAGAAGGACCTACCCACCACCAAAAACACGCTCAAGTGCACTTTCCGGTCCCTCCAGGTCAGCAGGCTGCCCAGCAGTGGTGAGGCCGCAGCCACACCCACCATGTCCATGACCGTGGTCACCAAGGAGAAGAACAAGAAGGGTGAGGTGGGGGAGGGGTGCACTGAGCTGGGCTGGATGTTGGGAGAGGAACAGTGTGGTGATTGTGGGGACAGCAATTACACACTGCCCCCTCTCCAGCAAGTTCCCAATAAACCTGCAGGCCCCTGGCTGGCCTCATAAGGGGGTTGGTCAGACATGCTTGGACAGCAGTGACCCCTCAGCCTTGGGCACTGAGGGTCTGGGCAGTCTCTGGCCAAAGTGAAGGCTCTGGGTGGGTAGGAGAGCACTGTCTGTGACCACAGCAGGAAGCTGGCATTCCAGGTGAGCAGGGGTCCAAGGGCTGGGGCCAGCCAAGTCCCCTCCCCTCCAGCTCCTGCTCTCCTGCCCTGCTTGCCATGGGGGCTCCAGCCAGCCTGGCCCCGAAGGAGCAGTGGGACCACAGCAGGGCCCTTTTCCTCCCAGTGATGTTTTTGCCCAAGAAAACGAAGGACAGGGATGTGGAGTCCAAAAGCCAGTGCATCGAGGGTATCAGCCGCCTGATTTGTACAGCCAAGCACCAGCAGAACATGCTGCGGGGTGAGCGCTGTGGTGGGTGGGGTGGAGGGATAAGGGAGGGCTTCATGGGGTGCTGGGGAAATTGGTTCCTGATCCAGGGTCCTATTTGACTCTGCCTACAAAATGTGAATGCAGAGCAGATGGGCGTGGCTTTTCAGATTCAGCAGAATCTGTTTGGCTCTGAAAGACATATTACATAATCTATGCTTGGAATACATTTTGATAAGGTACTTGCACTCATGTAACAGCTTTCCAAAGTAGTTTTCAATCTTTTCTTTGGCTGGGCATTGGTGTCTCACACCTATAATCCTAGCTACTCAGGAGGCAGAGGTCAGAAGGATTGAGGTTACAAGCTAGACCTGGGCAAATAGTTCACCAGACCCTATCTAGAAAAAACCCATTACAAAAAAGAGCAGGTGGAGTGGCTCAAGCAGTAAGAGCGCCTGCATAATGCAAGGCCCTTTAGTTCAAACCCTAGTGCCACCAAAAAAAAAAATTTATTTTTACACTTCAAAGTATCTCATAGAAGGCATTTGACAAACAATCCAGAGTGTGGGGCTGTCAGGCTTTCCTCTTTGTGCACTCAGGTCCTCAAGTTGGAGGATTGGATCACAGTGGTCCATGGCTTTTTTTTTTTTTTCAGTACTGGGGTTTGAACTTAGGGCCTCAAACTTGTTAGGCAAGCGCTCTAGCACTTGAGCGAAGTCTCCAGCTCCCCAGTGGCAGCATTTTAAATGGGTCTTGCAGTATCTCACATCTGGCCCCTATGAGGAGGAGGTGGCATGCTTGAGCAGTGGCTGAGTTGTGGGCCAGGCTGCTTTCTTGGTAGGACAGGAACAGTGAGTTAGGCCTTAAGTTTTGGGAGGGCAGGTGCCAGAAAATACTGGTGAGTGGGGCTCCCCACAGCTTTGGGTTCCTCATCCTGCTCCCCAGCCGGCTGCCCACCTTCCCAGGTGGTTGCCCCTGGCAGGTGGGCAGGCAGTTAGGTAGCCCTTTCCCACAGTCCTCATCGATGGCGTGGAGTGCAGCGATGTCAAGTTCTTCCAGCTGGCTGCCCAGTGGTCCTCCCACGTGAAGCACTTCCCCATCTGCATCTTCGGACACTCCAAGGCCACCTTTTAGCTCCGCCCACGGAGGGACTGGTGCAGGACAGTGAAGGGGCTCGTGTCCTGCCCTTGGTGGCCACTGCTGGAGGGGTAGCTGCATTTCTGTTAACACTTGTTTACTACAGAGACAGACAAACACAAAGAAACAGTCTTAAGTACAAATGTGCTCAGCCTGGAAACTAAGGGGCAGCTAGCTCCCTGCTTGGTGTCAAGTAACGGCTCTGCTTATTAACCAGGATGACTGGCCAAGTGGGGAGGCTGGAGAGCTGAGGGAGGTGCGTTCTGGCCTCAGAAGCTCCCAGAGCACCCAAGCAAGAGGGTTTTTGCCTTCACATCCTGTCCTTCCTGGAAGCCAGGACTCTGCTTCCTTAGGGAATCTAGGACAGGAGCAGGCCTCAGAACTTGGTGGTCAGAGGCTGAGGGTCATGGGCACCCTCAGCCTCCTGGCATGGGACATCACTTCCCCCAGCACCTCCCATAGTGGCTCCCAATAAACTCCAGCCTTATGGTGGAGGTTTTATAATACCAGATCTTTCTAATGCTCTCAAATACATGTTACAATGTAGCTGCCAAACAGATGTTGCACTCATGTCCCCTTGGGGCAGGACAGAGCCACTGGGCCCCACCCACTTGCCTCACCCCTTCTGCTCCAGTTCCTGAGACACGACGAGGCTTCTGCGTATTGTGCTGCCCTAGACTCAGCCTCACAGGCCCAGGCAGTCCCTGCAAATGTTCCAGTGTCTGGCCTTCGAAATGGGAGACGCGGCTGGGATCTATCTGAGGTCTGCTCTGCCTTGCCCTCCCACCCCTACCCTGCCTGCTGGACAGGAGCATCCAGAACTGACCACGTGGGTATCTAGGTTGATGTCAGGATATCCTAATACCATAGATATCGGGACTGTGATGAACTTGGGGACAGGGAACTGGGTATATATGTGGTACCTGCAGCAACAATGTGGCCAATGAAGTTTCCAGCAGACTGGCCTGTCAGGCAGAGGCCAGACACCCCTGCAGGGCTGGGGCTCCTCCAGGCCAAGCTCCTTCTCAGAGACCACATTTGGGGTCCATCCTAGATGGCAGCCCTGCCCTCTGCCTTCCCATCCATCAGGAGAGGGGCATGCTGACCTGTAGCCAGGGTTGTCCACGAGACCCATAGGGAGGGCACTGCCTCTGTCCACTTCTCAAGAAGAGCCCTACTCCCTGGGGCCTTCATAAGAAGAGCACACCCAGCTCCTGCCCCCTTGGAAGCTGTGGCCCTCCAAGGGACCCTAGTGCCCCTCCCCCACCCCAGCCAGGAGCTCTGGGCCTGGTGTCCTAAGATAGCTGCACAAGGCTATGCTCAGAAAACTGCCAAACGCAGGGTAGGCCAAGTCACAGAGGAGTCCCCACCTTCCTTAGGGTGAGAGATGGCCCATTTTTCTTACCTGTAATCTACCTGCTTACCTGCCTCCACTCCCTGTAGCTGAACATGGCCTATTTTCCAGGGTGAGGACCTTGGGGCCAGTGCTGGGATCTGGGTTTGGCTCTCTGATTATAGGTCTTTTGAACGGCCTGTGAGAATGCCTATCAGAGGCACTGCTAAAATATGCCTGAGGCACTGCCTGGGAAAGACCCCTCTGGACCCTGAGAAGGGGCCTGAGTAGGGCATCAGGCCACTATGACTCCTGAGGCTTCAGACCATTTGACTTGCCTGTCCAGTTTCTTCCCAGAGGTCATCCTTGATAAAGATTTGACTAAGCTTTCTAGCCTCAAAGCCACGGGGGGAGGGGGGGGTCTAGTTCCTGGCTATAGGCAGTCCCTTTCCAGGAGACCTTCATGGCTCTAACTTTGCACACACAAGGGGAGGGCATGAGCAGAGCTTCTGTCCAGCAGCTGGTCTCAGGCCTGGCCTATGGAGCCCAATAGCTGAGCATCATGTATCCACCACCATAGGCTCTATGCCAGGGAGGTGGTGCCAAGACCTGGGCTTCAGTCAGTCACCCCCTCCCAGCCTCAGTTTGCCCATCAGTTAGAGGGATGGTCACATTTCCCCCTGCCTACCTCATGGAGTTGTTTTGAGGATTAATGGAAAAGCACTTTGTCCCCTCAAAGGATGACTAGAAGCCAAAGCCATCTGACATACCAGAGTGGCCCTGAGGACAGTGGAGAGTGGATGTGTGGTGGGTGTGTCCCTCAGGCCTCAGCCCTGGGGCATCCCCCTTAGAAATGGGCTTAGCTTTGCCAGTCTTAAGAGGTTATGCTAGTAACTGCTGGGCAACACCAGGCTCCTCTTGGGCCTGACTGCACTGTCCCTGTGGTGTAGGGACCACTCTCATCCTTGCCAGGTGGGGACCTGCCTCCTTCCTTCTCCAGGTTGGCCCCCTCACCACTGTCTCCTTTGGGCATGCAGGCCAGTGCCCTGGGCCAGTACATCGGCCACAGCTGGCAGAAGAGCAGGCCCCTGGGCTCTGTACAGGGCCGCGCCCTTGCCACGCTGTCCTCACTCCCAATGGAAGACCTGACCGCCTCTAGCCTCCGTCCTCCAATGAATGCCTCATGAGAATGTCCCGGCACTTCCTCCCGGGCCAGGCCTCCGGACCCTCTGTGCTCTCAAACCCCCTCGTCCTCCGAACTCCTTCAGACTGCCCTGTCCTGGTGAGGGGCCAGCAGGGACTGATGGCAGGGCTTGGGGTGGGAGGGCCCCTCCGTTTCTGCAGACGCCGTCTGTGCGTTGTGACTGTTTGGTTTCTAGGGTGTGTGTTGCTAGTTATTTTTTTTTTAATGGAAAGCAGGATTAATGTAAATAGCTTTTCGGGGAACAGATGCTAATCTGTCCCATGTGACTACGTGGACGACTTTAAGGTGCTGAAGCGACACTAATAAACTGAGGGCACTCCCGCCTCCCGCTGCTGTGGTTCCTCTTGCTGTGTTGGGGTGCTGCGAAAAACCTAGGCGCGAGTACCGGTCCGGGGAGGGAGTAGGGCGGGGCGCATGCGCTGTCGAGCGGAAGCGGAAGCAGCGAGCGGGACCCGCGGAACGGAAGTTATGGAGCAAGGCTTCGGACCTCGGGGTGTCCGCTCCGGCCCCCGACCAGTTGAGCTCGACTTGCCCCCACTGAGTAGACCTCACTGACACCGCCCCTGTCGTCCCGTCCCGCTCCCTCCATCGAGCCCGACCCCTCCCTTTCACCCCGCTGAGCCCAGCCCTCTCACACCTGGACTTCACTATGCCCTCCCTGATCCTCTGGATTCCCTTCCCACCTCGAGTCCTCCTGCCACCACCCACCCTGCCCCTCAGCTGGCCCCTGCTCCGCAGTGCCAGAGAGGGTGGGACCTGGGCTTTGGGTGTGGCGTAGGCGTAGAGGTGAGGTCACAGGAGGGGCGGAGGGCAGGTGCTCCGCAGCGCGCGTTGTCCGCAGGCTGGCCAGGCTGGGAACCGGGGGAGGCTGCAGAAGGCTGACCAGGCGGCGAGGCGGTGAGGGCACTGGCGGGCAGAGAAAGGCGGCGTGCTAGGGGTGCTGATGACGGCAGTGGCCGCAGGGCTGGGGGAGCATGGCACCCAGAGGGGCCAGCCGTTGGGCAAGGGTCTGGTCAGCGCCTGGAAAGTGGCCCTATCAGAGGCTGACATCTGCCTGAGAAGTCCTGAGATCTGTGGCCCCCACCCAATCCTGCTCCTTCCCCCAGAGCTCCAGAGGTGCAGACCCTCTGCCTGTTGGGGGTAGAGATGGACAGCAGGCAGCTGAGTCCCCTGAGAAGGCCGCCCCAATCTCAGCTCGTCCAAGAGCACAGGCAGCCGTCTCCCCCAAGCAGCCCGTCCGCAGCCTGGGGCCAGCCAGACACCCGAAACAGCCCTCAGGAGGAACAGCAGACACAGGACTGGGTGAGCAGGAAGAGGCCCCATCTGGAAACCAAAGCCTTGGGTGGGCTGGTTGGGGGGGATGCAGGAAAGGGGGGTTTCTAGAGCCACCAGGTGACTGAGGAGAAATACATAGTTGGGGGTTCTCTTAACACACCCGCTGTCCTGGCTAGGTAGACCTGCACCCCTTTTGCCTCCCTCTGCAAGTCACCAGGGAGAGGTCACCTGAGGCCAGGAAGAGGGCACAGGACACACTTGCTTTAGCCTTCTTCAGTGCCCCAGATAGTGCCCCCCACTCCTGACCAAGAGGGAGAATGAGGTCTCTACAGCAGGAACAGTGCCCTCCTAACCAGGTAGACAACCCCAGATTGGAGCAAATCCCCTGTCTAGTTGCCACTGGAGAGCAGCAGTGTGCTTGGGTCAATGCAGCAGTGAGAGGAACAGGCACAGCCATGCAGAGCTGGTGGTACTCCATGAGCAGAGAAAGCCATGCCACCTGCGTGGTTCCACTGAGTGAACATTCAAAAACCAGGCCACTTGGAGTCTATGGTAAGACTGGTGCACAAGGGGCTTTCTGTTGCTGGTGTCACTCTTTCTTGGTCTGGGTGCTGGTCATGTAGCCAAGTCAGTATGGGGAGCCCATCGAGCAATGCACTTATGCATGTGAATGTCTGCATGAGTGTTCACTGAAGTCAAAGGTGGTGGGAAAAGAAAACAGACTCCTGAGCTGGGCGTAGTGGTGCACTTCTGCAATCTCAGCACTGGGGAGGCTGTGGCAGGAGGATCGTGAGTTCCAAGACAACCTGGGCTACATAGCGAGACCCTGTCTTAAAAAGTATAAGAAAAAGAGGTCTCCTGTGTGACTACTTTGTGTTCTCCAGGGCTCATGCCTTCAAGGCCCCTACAAGAGTGCCAAGTACTCTTGGCACTTGCAGAGATCAACTAGCCTTTGGCTTTCATAAGGCCAACATCTCAGGATGGGCAGTCTTGACAATAAGCATGCATAAGTGTCACCTGTTAGGGGTGAGGTTGTTCAGAAAGAGGAATGGATACATGACTTCCATCCTGGACAGGTGGTAGGGAAGAACCACAGGGCCCTGTGGCTGAAAGATAAGGCCAGAAGGACACACTGGATTCATACCAGCTCCCGGGTTGGGGACAGAGTCTCTTCAGTGTCTGCCACACACAGGCCCCCTTTGGGATTGTCTTCTGTGCAAAGTTCTTTCACTTCTTCCCTCCACTGTTTTACAGCTCTGCTACTGGCTGTGGCCCTGAGGGTACCCAGGCTGCCCTCTCTGACTGTCTTGTTTCCCTTGGTGTGGAATGCTCTTCCTCCAGATCTTCCCACAGCTGTTGCCATTTCAAGCATCATCTCCTGTGCTCCTATGGAGCCAATGGCCTGGCTAACATAAACCTTTGTCCCTCCCTTTTCAACCTGAGCCTCCAGAGGTGCCTTCTCTGTTTTGCTTGCCATGGGCCTACAGTGCCACACACGGTGCCAGACATTGCTCACAGAAGGCAGTGACCTTGGGCTGAGGCCAGAGTTTAAGGAAACCTACCCCAGCAAGAGGGTCCTCAGGCATGCAGTCTGGAGCAACAGGTGGAGCTCCAGCCAACATGACCTCAGAGTAAGATGGGAGCAGAGACAAAACTGGACAGGAGAATCAGTGAACAGGAGGATCAGAAGATAGGAGACCTGGGGGTGGCTACAGGTTGGGCCACGCTGGGAAGGGAACCAACAAAAACAGGACATCTCCCTCTGCCCACGAGCCTGCTGCCTGCTGCCTGCCACTTGCCTCATCCTCCTCTCAAACCATGAGTGCAGCCATGGAGCAGCAGACGTGAAGCTGGTCTCACTTGGAGACCCTGTGACTTTCCTGGTCAGTCCAGAAGAATCCACTGGATTCCACACACAGTAAGAGTGTTCAGATAACGGCCCTAAAGTTAGTAGCCTTTATTGATAGAGCAACAAGCTGGAGAACGTTAACAAGTGAAAAAGACCAACCTACATGGGATGATAGTAATAAACTTAGGAAATATCCAAAACCTATCTGAGGGGAATGTTACAACACCCTCAAAGAATTCAGAGACCTGAATGATGGGGAGCAATATTCTCATAAAGGGGTTCTCCAGAGGCACATTCCCTAATTTGGTGCAGATTGTCTCCTACGTTAAACCCACAAACTGACCAAAATTCACAAGAAAAATAAGAATAGCTTGGCTAACTTCAACTCAGCAGACAGGAATGCATATCGTAAAGCTTTAATTTCCATTGTCAAGGGAAAAAGTGGCATCAATATCTGGATAGAAAAGGTGAAGTAGGCACAATTTGAAGCAATATATTGTCTATCTGGAAATCCACACAAGCTAATTAAAAAATATGAGCACAAGTGAAAGAGGAAGATTGGTTATATGACCACCATTTTAAACTTCCTAGTTTCAATACATTAAAAGTAACCAACCAAAAAATGCAATGGGAAGGATCCTGTTCACTTTATAACAGAAACTAAGAAGTCCTTAGAACTAAATCTGTTTTCTCCACTACCACATATGAGGAACACTAAATGGCACTGAGTAACATAGGATACCTCATGGAAACATGTAGCATGTTACTAGCTGGACAAATATAATCAGTGTAATCCCCTTTTTTTTTTTTTTTAGAAAACAAGTTTTCCATGAATCTTGAAATTTTGACTCTAAATCCAAATAGTTTCTGGCACCATATTAGCTATGTGTTGCTGCAAAACATTACCCCAAAAACTTAACAGCTTAAAATGACAATAAGCATTTCCTTCTCAATTTCTGTAGGCCAGGCATCTGAGAGCTGCTGAGCTGGGAGGCTTTGGTTTGGTCTCTCAGGGAGTCATGGTCAAGATGTCAGGCAGAGGTACAGTCCTATGAAACCCTGAGGAGGCTCCCTACCTCCCACAGCAGGCAAGGCAGGTGGATCCTCATCACGTGGATCTCTCCACAGAGAGGCTGATGTAGCCTTGTAGCATGCTGGCTGTCTTCCCCCAGATGAGTGGATGAAGAGGGGGCAGAGTGGAAGCCTGCAAGTCACACTCCATCATCTCCACAATATTCTTTGGGTTATGTTTGCCATCTCTACTTTGGGGGTGATGGGTGACACAGGCTTCACTAGGAGAGAAGAATCACTGGGTGCATCCTGGAGGCCAGCCATCACAGGCAGTAGTTTAGATATGGTGTCGAGGGTTCAATGAAGGTCAAGCAGGATGAACAAAAGGATTGCATACCTAAAGCCATCACAGTGAAACTGAGCAACACCAGAGTCAAAGCTCTCAGAAGCCACCAGATAGGAAAGGCAGAGATCCTGGAGACTCAACAGAGAGACTGGCATGTGACTTATCCACAGCCAGGGAAGCTTTCACAGAGAAGCATGGCTTGTGTGTGCAGAGAGAAAATAACTGTCGACTTTCTTTTGAGTCAGGCTTTCACCATGAAGCCCAGGGTGGGCTTGAACTCAAGATCCTCCTGCGTCTACCTCCCCAGTACTGAGAATACAGGTGTGCACCACCACACCAAGCATAACAGTCATCATTTAACTTTATGCCCAGCAAAAAAGTACATAAAATGAAAAGCAAAAAGAATTTGCCCCCTCACAGATTCTCATCTCAATTTTTTTTTTCTTGGCTTTACTGGAGGTTGAACTCAGAGCCTTGCTAGACAAGTGCTCTACCATGTGAGGCACACCTCTATCCCTTTTTGGCTTTTAGTAATTTCTCAAATTGGGTCTGGATTTCATGCTCTGGGTGGCCTGGACCGTGATCCTTCTATTTATGCTTCCCATCCTAACTGGGATTACAGGTATGTGCCACTACACCCAACTTCTATTGGTTTTGAGATGGGGGTCTCATCAACTGTTTGTGGGCTGGTGTCAAACTGAGAGCCTCCTGATCTCCACCTCCTGACTAGCTAGGATTACAGGTGTGAGCCACCACACCTGGCCTCACCTCAATTCTGAAAACAGACCTCAAAGAGCAGAAAAGTGGTCTCAATAGGCATGAAATAGATAGGAATGAGGGTGAAAAAGAGGAAGCAGGTGTGTAAGTGTAAACTAACACTGATCGGTATGGCAGTCACTGGACATTACCCACAGAAACTCAGGAAGGAATTACTATACCCACCTGCCACACGTACATCAGGCTGGTGCCTGTGAGTGGAGCTGAAGTGCTCTACAGTCCCTGTGTCATTTGAGAACAGGATGGAGATATTTGTCAGTGGTAGACTTTGATGAGCTTACATGCACAACGTGACTCCACCAAAGAACAGAAAGAACTGTGTACCATCAATGGGAAGGGAGGATGGGATAAAAACAACAGAGTAGATCCAGAAGAAAGCAAGATGTGACAAAGAAGCACAAAACAAGCAAGACAAACCGAAAGCACAAGACAGGGTAGCAGATATAATTACTGTTGTATCTTCTAATTCAGCAAATGAAAATGGACTAAATGTTCCAGCAACGTGGGTGAGAATGTGTGTGAAGAGAAATGTGGAAATAAAACAACTCAGGGCCAGGAAGATAGTCTATAAACAGCCTCACATCAGTTCACATCGTATTTTGGCACCAGACTCGGCAAACTCACTCTGGATTTGGGGATTCGATCGTGTGTGGACCTCCCACATCCCACATGTCTGTGAGCTGTGAGCGTGCGACACACAGGCAATTGAAGTCGGCCTCCCTCTGCCACTTGAGCCACGCCCCAGTCCTCTTGCTCTTCAGTTTATTTTTCAGATAGGGTCTTATGCAGACTTTGCCTGGGCTGGCCTTGTGCTGCATTCCTTTTTCCTCTGCCTCCCGAGCAGCTGGGATTATAGCTGTGTACCTGTACCACCACACCACACTAATAGACATATTCTTTAGTGAAAGAAACAATTAACAAAATTATCCATGCTGTGAGGCTCTGTTTGCTCAGAGTTCAGAGACATGCAAAAGTAAATATGTTAATGTTATTAATATATTAAGATATAATTTGAGAAATAAAAATGTTTAAAATTTTACTTTG